GACTGGTAATGTGGAAGCTGATTATTTTGAACAAAGAGAATTCGAAATTATCTTAGAGGAGACGAGCATCGTGTGTTTTCTTTACTCTTGTAGACTTTCACATCGAAATCAACCAGTTGATCAAACAGTAAGAGTTTGTGTTAGAAGAAACTAGACACGGGCTTTCCGTAAGCGATCTCTGGAATTGACATTAGTTTATGTTTGCCTCTACTGTCTTTGATTCATGCATTATTAATGCTATATTTGTTTTTTTAATAGTGCTACTATAGTAAAAATCAATGAGAAAAGTTGAAGTATGACAATGACATTTTAAAGAACGTTTATCGACAGCACTTGTTATGATTAGAGGCTGATGATTTTGCATATTTGCATTTGTTCTTAAACATTATGACTTTCATAGATAACACAAGTCCACTTCTTATTGTTTGGAAAACATACAAAATCTTATTGTGCGTATTTTAGCATACAGTAAAGTCGCAATAATCCGAGGAAATTACGAATGATGGTAATAAGATTACAAAAAACTCAGTACAATTGACCGAGACGCGGCTCATCCCGGATAGCCAAGAATGCATTATTTCCTTTACTGAATATGGATGTGATTTTCTCTCATTCTGCACTTCATTACTTTGGTAATGCACTGACATTGGTGCATTATGTTCTTTGCTCGAGAACTCCAAAAGTATAATCTCAAGTAAAAATCATCTCTTCCCTAAAACTGAATTTTGTCACAACCTCTTTGAACAATATTTCTCAAGGGTGACACATAGCACAAGGAAAAACACAAATCTAAATACACGTTTGACTACAGTTCAACAGTTGGAAATGAAGTTTTACACGGTGTATTACATACTACCTTGCCTGCGCCCTTGCCTGTACCCTTCCCGACGCTCATGTCCACGCCCTAGCCCTTGGCCTTTCCGTCTCCTCGCCCCCCCCCCACGCTCCCATTACTCCGCCCCGCCCGCGCCCGCCCTCACCCTAACCCCCTCCCGAGTGGAGCGAAATGTCCCAATTTTTGCGGCTGGCGGCGGCGGCCGATGCGCCAGGCGCGGCACGTCATCAGGGCGCATAGCCTCGTTTGACGCTATCACCCCTCCCTCAACGCCACTTCCACAAAGCACCTCCCCTCATGCTCTTCCTCCAACGTCCTTCCGGGAGAGGGGAGAGGTGGTTCAGGGCATCAACTGATGACACTGCAGTGCCTCTCACAGGGAGGGCCTAGGATCGAATTCTCGGATTTTCTACACTAGGTAAATAGCTACTTCGAGTTCAGCCGCTGTCTCGGGAATTCAAACGGCCGACTGCTCTGATCGGTAAAGTTTCTCCGATCAACACCAGGTGAATGCCAGAGCAATACCCTAACAGACAGACCGCGCGCGATCTTTCCTTCCCCTTTTTTGTCCTATGCTCATCGCTTACTTATACTTACACTTTAAGGTCAATAGAAACAAATAAGATTTACACCTATATGGCGTTTGGGAACTTTTCAAACAAAAGTATTTCTTGAACTTATGATTTTTTTCTTGTTCGATGGTATTACGAAATGTACTGATCGACACACTGCCAATGACACAAATAACAGATGGTTATAAAGGTCGGCTATCACTTCTGATAACAACCCCCAAGCGCGCCTTTTATTTGCTGTTTGCCTTCGTAATGGCGTAGACACCTGTTGAGAAGACTGCACATTTCGCTCCTAATGCGCAGGTGCCCCTTCGCCTAAGCGCATCTCGATGCGAATGCGTTCGGCTCCCACTCGCCCGGCGCTTCTCCGACGGCAAATGGCACCCGGCGCAGGCGCAATGGCTTCCCGTTAGAAGGGCTCTTACTCTCTCTTGCGAACACGTGATAAGATGATGATGGTTAGGGAACAGTAGTTTATGACTTGTCACTTTTCCTCTCGCTTTTCCCAACTTTTATTTGTTTTAGAAATACGATGACGAAACAGCCAATGTGTAACTGCCAGAAGGTAATTATTTCCCGGGAATGTACGTATTATACAAATTCCAGACGAAAAATGTATGCTGGAGAGTATGCTGAGAAGAATTATTCAGTGGGGGCATATGCAATTCACAAACATTGCAACGCGTGATTATCGTGAATAACCAGAGAGAAGTGCGTATATAGGACATCTTTGTGCACTTACCTCTTAAAATAGCAAATTCTGTATAGTACATACTAAAGCAGAACGAAAACTTTATGTCGACATATACATATACTACTCAATTTATATACGAAAATTTACTTTATGTCCGATACTTTTACACATTCACCGTCTGACATAAATTTATTACTTTGCTATTTACTTCATAACTAAACAATCCTCTTATCATCCAAAACATCGCAATCAGAATCGATAGAAGGTGCACCTACAGGCACATGGGGTGCATCGCAATAAGTGAAACAAATGTGCGCAACAGAATTGTTGAAATCTTCGCCTGTGTGCACGGCCCTTCCTCTCTTCCGTCGGTTCGGCTCGGCCCCAACAGGCCCTGCCTTGCTACTCCAGTCCGACCCTCCGGGGCCTGCTACCGCTTCCCGCCCTCTCTCCGACCGCCGTGCGCGCAGTGTCGCCGCCAGAGAGTATAAGAGAGAGGGTCGCCGCCCCGTCCGACGGCTGCTTGCCGGGGGCCGTCCTCGCCTCGCCTCGCGACGTCAGGTGTCGCTGCCGAGTCAGTGACTCCGCCAAGAGACGTTTTGCCTTGACCTGGGTCATCCCGCTTAACGTTGCCTCCCACCCCTCCACCCGTAGGCCTAAAGGAGAATAAAGAATGGCTCGAAGGGCACGTGCCCTTACCGTACTTCCGCTCCCCAATACGTGGTGCAGGGCCCTTCCCCTACGACGCTATCGTCAGTTTTGGGGGAGCAGCGATGTGAAATCTGCGCCGCCGCGGGTAGAACCGAAACAGCGCCCAACGGTTCTTTTTCCTGGTAAGTAACAGTTTCTGTGTCCGGACATAAAAGCGTTTGAATCAAGTTGCAAATACTAAATATGTCAAGAACAATATATATGTCACCTGCTTAGCGTTTATTCGCGTGCTTTTGTTAGATCTTCGCGTTGTCTCTGCATCAGCTGATCTCGTCTCTCAGACCTGACCACGTTCGGCGCACGCGTGCCAGCATGCGAAGAGTAATCACTATGTGTATGACGTGTAATCATCCTCGACACTAGGTGAAAAGTTCTATCTGCCTTCACGTGCGACATCTAACGACTAGTCTTGGCTCGCTTTTCAACTAAGTAAGTAGCGAACTGGCGTCTTCGAACAATTGAAGTACTTGGCCTGTCCAGTCAGTGCTGCGCTCTGACGGCGGCACTGAGAAGCACTGTAGTTTAAATATTGGATGTGATTTCGCAGGGTCCTTCCACTGCCTTCAGTGACGCGATTTTCGGAGAAAAATAAAATTATATCCACATTACTCATAAATGCGCAAGCTTAGGGCGCCATTCAGCGGCGCTTCCGAGTGACGCGTCTGCTGGCAAAGCGTTTGTATAAATGGAGGTATTCACACGAGTGACATAGTAGCGCTTCTGTGGCACTTAAGGTCCCTTCACACGGTGCCACTCAGCAGCGCTTCCGAGTGGCGCGTCTGCATTGGTTTAAATGGGGGTATTGACACGAGTGGCGAAGCAGCGCTGCTGTGCTGCTCCGAGGCGAACTCTCGCCACCAACAGTGCAGACGCGCGTCTCCGCCACCCCCAGCAGAACGCAGTTCCAAGTGACAGCCTTCACACTAGGCCGCAGGGCCACTAGGCGCCACTGAAGCGATTGCCACCTGCTGGCTGCCTTTCGGCCGCCTGAGCCCCCAGCGGTGTCGCTCCCTCTCCCGCGGGCAGCGGCGCTGGGCGGCGGATGTGTGGGGAGGGACCCTCACAACGTCTCTCAGTAGCGCCATGCGAAGGTAGCCTTAGGCTGCATTTGGCTCAGAAAGGGTTCATTTTATGCACACGAGGTTAGGTGCCAAAATTTAAAAGGATGCGAATGCAGAATGTTTTAATAGGAGTGAATGCATAAATGTTCCAGAAGATGATTGTCCAAAACAATAACGGACGAATGACTGTCAAAAACAATTTTTTACTGATATATAATTGCCTTCGATACAGAGCTTGCGAGCAGATTATTGTTCCGGAGGAAATATGAAAACAGTTGAATGATGCTACATGTTTTCTTATGAAATGGAATTATTGAATAGAAATGTGGAAATATAAACCGAGTCACGATAATATCTAGTTAATGAGTGCATAAATAAACCTGAATAATTAACATCGTGAAAAAAATAAAGCCATGAAAGAACCATGGACGCCAACGGTTATAATGATCTCGGGCGACAAAAATCCCTCTGGCCGAAGGCGCTGTTGCCGCTCGATCGTTAGAACCAAATTATATAGAGACAATACATAACACTCGGCGACATAACGGAAGCCACCGACCCTAGCGGCCCGACCTGTCATAACCATTGTGATGTCACATAGGAAGTGTATAAATTTGAAAGATGATTAGTTTGCAAACGATAACGTTTACGTATGTTTTGCAGAGTGATTCGAAACGTAGTGTACATGTATTGAAATTTAAAGTAGTCCCCGATTTTCCAAGTCAGGTTCTTAGTTTCGCTAGTGAGAAGTTGTCTTTCTGTGCCATTAAAGTACAAGAAAGACTCAAAGTGCCCTGTCTTGCCTATTTGTTAGCAGCCTTGTCGGTGCTTTGCGCAGGGTACATCAACGACAGCCACCCGCGCGCGGGCTACTACCTGTCGTGCCTGGCGACGCTCATCGGCGCCGCGCTGCTGTTCCTGGTGGGCGGCGGGCCGGGCGCGCGGCACGGCGGCGGGGCCGGGGCGTCGCGGGGCGCCGCGCCCGCCCGCGCACGCTGTGCCGCTGCCGGCGCGCTGCTGCCGCTGGGCGCGCCTCGTCGCTCGCCGCCGCCGCCGCCGCCACCTCCCCGGGCGCCTCGCTGCGCGGGGGCGGCGGCGGCGGCGCGCGCCTGCCCAAGTCCGTGTCCATGGCCACCACGCTGGACCTGCCGCCGCCGCCGCCCTCGTGCCTGTCGCACGAGGCGCTCTACTGGGACGCGGCCGGCGCCGGCCCCGGCCCCGCCCACGCCCACTCGCACGCCCACCTGCACCACCGCGCGCTGCGGCCCTGCAAGAGCGTGCCCGAGGGGCTGGCCAGGTAACGCTCCTCACCTTCCGCCACTGCGTGCGCTTCCGCTCTCGGAGGTTCTATTGCCTTTAGCCCCTGCAGTGCGGTCGCGATCATGCAACACCTCCCGGCACGGCTGAGGAAGACGCGGTGACATTATGCCACCGTGACGACGGGTCTTGACGCGCCAAGTTATAAAAACCGAAATATATGCTATCCAGGAGGATCCCAGACTCTGCCATGGTGGCAACCAGTAGGAGGCTAGCCACCACGACATAGTCGCGGATCGTCCCGGATAGCCAGGATAGACATTACTCCACTTTCATGCTCGTTAGTGCGTAAGTGCCGAGAGGTAAGAGAGTCCCCCCCCCCCACTCGACGGTGAGTTCCGGTGCCGATCTACACGTCGGCTTGCCGGGGTTTCTCTCCTCCGCGTATCTCACCCAGTGGATCACCTCCCCGTATCGGGGCAAGCTTTGTGTTTCCGATTGTTCTCGCGACACATGGTAGCGGAGGACAAGGATGTGTAAAGGGCTCGCACGACTCCACTGAGCAGCGCTTCCGAGTGGCGCGGTAAAGCATGTGTTTAAATGAAGGTTTTCCTACAAGCGACCCAGTGTCAAACTTCCGACACCAGTAGCGCAGACGCACTTCCGCGACACCGCCAGCAGAAAGCAGTCCTAAATGGCAGCCTTCACATCAGGCCACTCGGACGTGCCACTGAGCTTAGGGTCCCTTCACACAGAGCCACTCAGCAGCGCTTACGAGAAGCGTGTCTGCTGGCAAAGCATTGGTGTAAATGGGGGTATTCACACGAGGGAGGCAATGGCGCGCTCCCGCTCCCAGCAGCGCAAGCACTCTTCCGCTCCAGCGCCAGCGGAACAGAATTCTAAAGGAAAGTCTTCACGCTCGCCAACTCGGACGCGCTTAGCTTAGTACATGTTGACTTTCTTGCGGCTGTCGGTGCCCACAGCGGCGTGACTAACGAATCCCTTTCTTCCCACGCTTAGGTAACGCTGGTCAGTGGCTGTATGTGAAGAGCTCACCCTCTTCTCCATGACGCCCAGTGACTCCGTGTGCAGGCAGCCTGAGGGGAGTGGATAAGAAAAGTTCAGGTCAAGGAAGAAAAGTTCGCTGGCAGACTGTGGTCCGTTTTTAACAGTATTGCTCCACCATTCGTCTAGAATTGATCGGAGACTCCAAGTAAAACTACCAATCAGAGTGGTGTGCACCTAGAATGTTTCTCCAGAGAGGGAATGAATTCCACCCAGCTATATATAGCTATTGTTCAAAATCCACCATCGGAGACAATACAATGGTATCAGTTTTTGCCCTGGTCTATCTCAGACGGCCCAAAGTAGTGTAGAAAGTGGAACTGTTAAGATGATGCAAATTCTCATAACTTATGAACTTCGAACTCGGTACCTGAGGCTTGTTTCCTGAATACATGAGCAGGTCGGCTGCTCTGATAGGTAGTTTTCCGTGGCATCTCCGGTAAACGCCAGGTGAATGCCGGAGCAGCACCCTAACAAACTGGCCACGGACCACGGACGATCATTCTTTCCTCTTCGTTGACCCATCCTCACCTCTTACTGATACACACTTGCACTTTCACGCACTACACTACAGCAGACGTCGCAAGAACAATCCGGAGTTTAAAGCTTGTCTCATTTGGGGTCGTGCTCCGCTGCAGCGCGCTGGTGGGAGAGACCTGGTTGGGGAAAATCCCGCAAGTCGACGGAAAGAGCGGCGCGAGATCACGCAATCCAATGGGGGAAGATCACCGCCACTTCTCGCGATAAAACATGCACCACACTTACGGGACTGGTGACCTTAGCAGTAGACCCGCCCGTATTTACTAATCAGTCAATAGATGAGCACCTCCAATGGTTACAACAGTACAATTGAAACTTAAAAGTCGCTCACGCACAGTGGCGAACCCAAAGGGAGAGGGGACGCGTTGACCCCATCGTTGGTGAGAATGTAGTCTTCCGCGACCAGAGACAGAAGCGACTTGGCTCTGCGGGGCACAGGTTCCGATGTTTCTGCGACCTTCCTCAGGGCGAAAAGCCTTGAATGCGTCGGGGCCTGTGCTTTGGACGCGGCCTTCATTGGTGTTCTCCGTGTACGGTGTCTCAGGGCACAGCCTAAGGCCCGTTCTGTTGCAGGTTCGCGTGGATGCCCCCGTACCCGGTGGCGCGCCCGGCCCGGAACGTGACGGTGGTGGAGCAGATGACGACGTCGGTGTGAGCTCCGCCCCCGCCCCCGCTGGAACTGTTGCAGACGGTGCTCTTGTTGCTTACTTGTGCTTGTTATTGCCTTGGCGGAGGATGAAACTGCTCCGTGCAAGCGCACTGAATCGTTCACAAGGATTGGACAGCGTTGGATGTTTCGTTCGCCCGCCCCGCCCCGCCCCGCCCCCCGCCCACGTCTAGTCTGAAACGCCGTGGCCTTTAAGGGACAATTGCTGAAACTGAAGTGTGGCCACCCGTCTCGTAAATTCTTTTGAGAGTCGGACCTGCACGCACGGACATCGGTCTGAAACTCAGCGATGCCGCCTACAGTGTTACCTTCGACGGGCAAAAAGAATCCTCCAAATCCTCCCACGAATCAAATTTTACTGCACTGATGGCTCTCCTCGGAACCAAGAACCACTGGCAGCACTCCGAATCGACTGCTCGTTCGGCGGTCCAGGAGGGATGTTCGTTTCGGAGGTACTGCATCTCGGCAAGTAGAGCGGACTCGAAACTCAACGCATTGAATGTTCGTAGCACCCAAGTGCGCAGACGAGAGCTACAGAAGTGTGTCTTATCAAAATGCCAATCGACTGGAAGCTACAAAGTTTTCATGATGTCAAATGCGTTCCGAGAACGTTCTCTCGGTTTTAACAAATCTTTTACTCACATAAAAAAAGCAGCAATAAAATTAGATTCAGTCGGAATATATTTGCAGTTGGGTGACCACACCAGTCTGGTAAATCACAATAAAAATAGGAATTTCCATTAGTAGTTGAATATTTCACAAAGTGGTAAACTATTTTAAGGAAGCATGTCACACGATACATTATTTGGTTTTGATATTTTTAATCAATTCGCCTTTCTCGCAGAGAACTGAATATTTTGGACAAAAATATGTACAGATGACTTTCAAACGTGTCTTTGCTTCGAGATCTACAGTAGGACAATTTCACATACAATTGGAAATTTTTTTTCTTAAAGGGCAAAGCTTTTATTAAACCTGTCTCAAAACTTTAACTAAAATCACGTGTAAAAATTTTCGTTCTACAATTGTCAGTCATGCCGCTGATGACCTAATAAGTCACCATAAACTAATGCATTTGGGAACTTTTCATGTAATAACAATGTCATTTTAAAGGTTACAAGATCTCTTGCAAATGAATTCATGGAACAAATCTATCTCTCCGCTTGACGTTCAAGAGACAAAATAATAACTAATGACCTCTACTTCATAAGCCATTTTGAGAAACTCATATCTCATATAGTTTTTTTTTCTCGTTAAAGAAAATAGTTCGTTTCAGTTTACAAAACCAAGCTCCAAATACAAAACAATTGAAAAATCTTAAAAATCTGACTTATAAATGCTCTTTTTTTTATTGTGAAAGATTACTTTTTAAATTTAGTTCATATAAAATTCTGATTTTCATCTTTCGGAAAGTCAAATTGTGTACATTTAGTATTATTTACACCTTTATTACACATAAGGGTTAAGGCCTTTTTAAGATTTTGAATTCATATTCAATACTGGTAACAAAAATGTTCGTTGATGTTATTATATTTGGGGAATAAAGTAACAAATGCATAACATGTAGGGACGTCTCAAAAAAAGTTTTCATTTTACTATAAGTAAATTTTGTACTCGTGTTCTCTTCGACCTTGTTTAATTGAGTTTGTCTGCCACGTCCACTGCTGGGGCGGGTGCCCCTCCCCGCTGGGTCCCGTGCTGAGGCACGCGTCGCTCAGCGGACATCGGTGTGGACGCCCTGCGGCGGGGCACCGAACGTGCAAGTGTGCGCACGCGCGATCCCGGGCCCTTTTTCTTTGGCGGAAAACCACTAATCAGAGCGGCAGGCCATTAGAATTTTCCTCCAGACAGAGGTTGGTTTCACGTAGCTACGCAGCCAGTGCTGAAAATTCGCCACCGTCGGGACGCGAACCCAGGACTTCCCAGTAAGAATCGCTGGCTTTGAGCTACCTCAACCGGTGTTTGTTGTGATGAAATTGGAGTTGTCATTAATAGGAAATGTGTCGGTTTACTTTGTTGTGTACTTTCGTTGTTTTTCGTATTTGTTAGTATGCATTTGCTGTGATAAAATTTGAGACTTAATGAATATTTAATTTATAAAATTATATTTTGTTATTTTTATTTGAAAAAGTATTAAAACACTTCCACGAGTTTTGTGGTTTTTGTTGTTTTTTTTAACCCGGGTGGGGTTTTGGGGGTTGAGCAAAATTTAGTCGAACTGTCCTAAATAAATTCTGGAACACGTAATGGTGAAGAATTGACCAATTCCTATGTAGATTTGTCAAAAATAAAGACACATTATGTCCAACCGGGATCTGAAGAATTGTACAACTTGAAAGCGTTCGAAAGAAACACCTATGTACAATTCAAAGGCGAGAAAATAAATTCAAAATTAGAGTTACAACTTCATGGCTGTGCAACAGGCTCCTACTCGAGTTCGGGCAGCATTATTACATTTAACAGCGCATTTTTACTGTTGCTGTTCTTTTTCTTACTATGAGCATATTGGACTGCGCAAGCATTCCATGACTTTGTTCACTTTGATTTTTCAAGGTCCATACTTGTCATTGTCTTTACACTTGATTCAGTAAAATGGACTTGTATAGTATATGTCGCAAAATTATCATTTCAATGTTCGATCGAAGCTCTGAATACAAAGTGTAGATACGCATGTGACCGTTTCGTTCATACTTTTTCAGACATTCTTCTGAAAAACTAATATATTACGTACCGATGAAATAATGCATTTTGGAGGTTTGCAGACCCCAAAATCGTAAGACCGGTTGTGCTTAACCAATTGCACATTATATTCGGCGCTTGGTTTGTCTGCTTTCTTACCTGGTGACAAAATAAATATAAGTCTATCAAAGATTACATTTTGTCTATTTTGTTTTATGCTGTTTCGCTGTTCCGTAGTTTTCACGGTTAATGTTTTGGTCTATCTTCAGGTCTTAGTATGCAATTTAAAAAGCAATACTTCTAAGTAAACTTCAGAGGTTTAAGTGATGTGACTAGACTAGAACTCAAAAATCAGACACTGATTGAATGGGCTTCAGATAATTCATCACATAAATGCCATATTCATTTGGCTTAGCGTTACATACCTACTGTTATTTACTAGATATCCGAATATGAGGGTACTTTTGCTTCTCTATTCAGATAATCAAATCCAATTTTGAAAACAGTTTTTCAAGTTTAACGAGTTGTTTACAAGTGACTCGCCAAGATAATACCAAATATAAGAGGAATATGACTTGGACATATTTTCTAAATCCGCCAGTGTGGACTCGCATTATCAGTCTCTCTTCACAACGCCAAACAAACAAGCAATAGTTTGAATGTTGTGTGTTACATATACTGAAAAAATTAAGTTTGTGATGTGCAGGAACACGTACGATTCGACTAACCTTCACCTGCGGCTCAGCAACTCCGTTGACTGGGCGCCAAGCATGTTATAGCTGTATCAGTCGTGACAGCACAACTGAATAAAAACGACTTGAAACATTCTACGCATTTCTTATCGCCTCGTCATGTGGCCAATCATGCATCACTTTCATTACGACCCCAAACGACGATAACCCATTGGTAGGCGAAAGTTTGCTACGCACACGATTTGGTAAAGTAACACTACAAGAACGTTTCGAACATGATCCTGTGTGTGCTTCTAATATTTATTGAGAATTGTTATAATTTGTACTTGGTACGTCATTTCGAGTGTAAAAAAAAAATACACCAGTGGGTTCTGGGCAATGATAAATTAACTTTTCTAATGACCCTTTTGCCGAGAATTGGTTCCGTAACTCCACACCAGTTCATTGATGAATACTCATGTTCCACATGAACGCTCACAAGCATCTCGTTACATGCCGAATCGGTAAATATGTATATAGCTAATTTGTGCCATTGGAGAGAAAATCTACTTTCTCGATGCCAATGACAATACGCGCAAATTCATGAATTGATGGAGTACGAGTCCTGTGCACAATCAGTGCTTGGCCTCGACATCCGACACAGAATCAGTGCGCAGTGAGATGCCAGTGGGACTGAGACACAATAAGATAATTACTGAAAACATTCTCTGAGGCCAAAAGTACAGGAATTATATTTATTACAATATTACAAAGAGCACAATGGTTTTAACCTTTTACACCTGAAATGACTATTTGTATTTTTTGCAGGTTCTTCATGTGAAATAGTCTTTTTTACAGCTGAACTAACCCAAAAAAAGTAATGCCAGAACAAGGCAGTAGAATGGCACACTTTGTTTCACTTTATCTTTACAGCAAATGTAGGCTATAAAGTAGATTATTGTTTTAACTCACTGATTACGTGAAAAAATCTTTGCAGAAAAGCAATTAAGTATATATATAATTATTTTCTTACTAGATTTCTTTTGAGCCAAGAACAATTTCATTACAGAGTGTACTGTTAAAGTACATTAAGCATCATTGAGATTTGTGGCCTTCGCCATTTACATTCTGGAGTTTGTACATCCACAACAGAATTCCATGGCCTAATTTGGAATGGTTAATTATTATTTTTATTTAACCACACATTTTTAGATAATAAAAAAGGTTCCCTAAGAATTGTGTTATCTAAAACACTTTCAAAAAAATCTTATTCAAAAAGTCGCAGGCTATGATTCCTATTTTCACAAAGTAGTGAACAAGATGTTTTTATTGAAACAATTGTCAATACTTATGAGCATTTTCCATTTTAAACCTTTGTAATTTTAAAAAATTAATAAACTTGCTGCTACTTATTTAAATTTCTGGTAAAGTTTTACAGTACACTTAATGTCAAAAGAATATGCCAGGCAAAGAAATTGCCTTGCACACTTAAGGCTATGTTTTGGACAAGAGCAATATTTAGTATTTTGTGTTCATATGTATTTGCACTCAAGAAATAAATCAGATACAAAATGTAAATGTAACTGAACTGCAATAATTCAGGTTAAAAAATCAATGCCATCATTTGTCAGCAAAAACTGCATTAAGAATAGCCTACTTTCCAGACAGTGCACAAGATGCAATCTTCCTTTTCTTACTGCTTCCCTGCACAAAAATAAAAAATTATCTGTTCTGTCATCTGGACATCTTCAAATCAACAATTGTTACTGAAATTTCTTAATGAAAGGAAATGCAATCCAGCGGCTACAAACTTCTTGCACGCCTGAAAGAGATGCCTGTTCACATAACATCACCATGACAGTTCCATCCATATTGGCAGAAAATATGAAGAATTGAAATTAATTACAAAATTGAAAAATGTAAAACATTTTTGCAAACATTACTTTGCTTTCAGATTTTCATTTATAACACTAAAAATTGCAATGGCTGTTTGGGTGGGATGCTCTTTTAGTACTATATTGCATGCATGTTTTCCACATTATGTTCAAAATTTTGCCAACTTCTTGTTAATACTGTATGACAACTAGCTGATGCTATTTAACGATCTTCACTTTTGGTATTTAAGCTTCTTCATTCACCGTTCACTCTAATTTTGATGTATGTGGATTGCGCACGTCTTTAAAATCCTTGAAACAGTATTAAATAAGTGCCAGATCAGAAATATACAAATCCAACAATAATATTTTTCTACATTGAACAGCATTTTCAAATTTGGTCATGTAAGTCATGTTATACTTGGTAACACAGCCAGATATTTCCCAAACAATTATTTCTGACATTATTCATTATTACAAACTAATCAATGTTAATTTTATTCCAAATTTATAGATAAAAGAATTAAATGAATTAACTGACAAATGATGTATTAAATTTAATAAAACTGATGTAAAAGAAGAGCAATACATTTTTCTTTTAAATATGAGGGAGATAATAAAGTTAGCTAATTAATTTGCCTTGTACAAATTATATTAAGTGGCAACTTCAGAACAAAGATTATACTCTTGTTGTTCAGAACATTATGTTCAAAAGATATCAAATGACTGTCACTGCGACTTTTTTGGGTAAAAAAACAAAACAACAAGTATCAAATTTTAATGTTAGAACCATGTGAATGTCAGTCTGGGAATTCTTACAGTTTTTATACTTTTCATTGTTTGAACAAAGTTGCAATTGAATGATATACTGGATAGTACTGTAAGTTCATTGAAAATGAAGGTCTCTAAAATCTTTGTCAAAAATTAAATGTATGTTACTCAAAGTACTTGATAAATTGAAAAATAATGGAAATAGACATTAAAATACAAATAAGAAAATTTATTAGGTTGCTACATGTAAAAATAATTTGAATACATTTTCGCTTCATGTTACCTGGGATCAAAATGGAATACCTATTCATCGTAATGAACTGAAAGTGTATTTCTTAAAAAGTGTTCACTTCAGATGAGGAATTGCCTTCCTCCAAAGTATGATCTCTATTACTATAGAAATCTCTCTGTGTATTGTCTCTCTCCTGATGCATGATTACATAAATACTCACAAAAATCAATACACAACTATTTTTGTGAATATGTAGCATTCCCAAAACTTTTCACTAGACAAAGAACAGATCAGCAATAATTATGTATTAACAACAAAGCTTGTTGTTATTTCTCATATCTAATTCCACCTCAGATTCAAACAAAACAAAGACTATTTTGCGGTGCTTTTACAATATACTATTTACAAAGAGCAACCACATCGCACAAAGTGATTGGATGAGCTTGGTAGATATATATCCTGAGTGAACAATAGGAGTGATTCAATGAAAGTTGTCATTGTTTTCTTACACAATGAACAATCGTTGACTGAAGTATGATTGTTGTGATGTCTTTCTAGCCATCCACTTCATTTGTTATTAAATTTTTCTGGTTATTTCACTTTGCTCGTATGTAAATGAGTCTTTAAAAAAGCTCTCCTATATGTATACCTTTCCATGTTATATTGTTCTTCAAAGAAAATTATGAAGCAGTAACTATTGTACATCTTCTACTGATGATAAGCCAGTTTATACATATGAAAAGATTGAGAAATATAAAATGTACGTTCCTCCTCATGTGGTTTTATTTAACCTTGGTATCCTCATGCAAGTTTTAGTGACATTAACTTTCATGTGAAGTAAAGGTGTCCTTATCCTGCATTTGTATATTAGTAAGTTAAGCTATTTTTATTAAACAAACAATATTATTACAATATTCTTCAAAACACTACACTCAAAACAACTGCCATAAAAATGCAAAAGAAAATTATCAGTCCCAAAACTCCTTGATCAGTACATGCCACACATGACGTGCAATGTATTTACAAGCAGTCTTCATATAAAACCATCATAAGATCTTTGCATAGTGTTTTATTCAATTTACATCTGTGAAATCTATTTTATGCCCCAGCAAATAGGGACAGGCATCTTACATTATCTGCATCTAAAATATATATGACCCAATGTTCTTTTTTACTCAGTTGTTTCACCTTTTACTAATGCAAATTTAGCATTTTCTAGGAAGTATTAATAATTGACCTCAAAAATATGGTAATATTAACACATGTGGAGGTATGTAAAGTGTGTCCCAATGGCAAGGTTACAATTCATCTGTTTAGTAGTTTCCTTATAACACATCCTGACTAAAAATTTAAGATACACTGGAATAAATACAAGAGCATAAGATCTCGAAGAAGCATCTAAGTGACTACATGTTTTTCAGGATCTTCTCCAAAATGAATATTACCAATTGATCTGTCGAAAATCTGAGGCCCTTTAAAATTGAAAAGGATATTTTAATTTTTAAGGGCACATTTCATGAAGCCTTTGTTCTAGCCAGCTTGTGTGGCACAGAAGCTTATAGCATTAGCACCGAAGCTTCTGTTACATCCAAATTGCGGTTTCCAATCTTCCATAATGCATTCACGTGTGTTCTGGCACAGTGTGCATTTGAAGTACATTTCAAACATCATCCCCCTTGGACCTAAAATCCTTTCCTTGATTTCTTTCCCTTCACCAGTAAATCTTTCTTGGCTCAATTTTTATGTGTCCATGGTGTTCTGACTTCCTATTCCAAAGGACAGGGTTCAATTCGCAAGGAGAATGTTTGTTAGGTGTTTTTTCTTAAAATCTTTCTCTTGCATAGAGTAAGGTTCACATACAAATATGGTACTGGACCTCTGAACTTTAAAAATTGCAACTTCAAATCTTCCACACTTCTTTTTCTGCATACTTTTTCACAAGATGGAAGAATTAATAGGATACAATTTCGAATTTTATATGATATAACCATTACAAACAATATGAATGAGAAAATATGAGCTGTTTTAACATCACTAGTTGATTCTTGTCACCAGATGAGTGAACTCAAGACCGCCACATCTGTCAGAGGTCCTTACAAAACACCAGAGAAGTTGACACTTGGAGTAACTTCATTACACACGAATCCAGCGTAACAAGCTACAAACGACTATGAAGAACTTTTAAAAACCAAAACCATTTCCTTTGGTTATGGGCCCAGTAATATATTTGATGCAAACAATTTTTTCAACCATGCTATTGAAAGGGATTTTAATGGTTTCAATTTCAATGTAACATTTGAAATTGGCTTTTATAATTTTAGAGAGAACTAACTATCAAAATCAACAAGTTGTAGCAATTGTTCACAAACTTCTTTCTCCAAAGATGACAACTGAATAAATAGGGCTTTACCATACCATACAATCACTTCACTTTTTTGCATTTTATTACATTCTGGACAATACATATAAGCAAAAATGAGATCTATTTGTTTACAACAAAGTATGGTTAGTATTTCATGTAGTAAGCGATAATTACATATACTTAAATGTTCTGAATGGATAAACTTTTCCTTTGTCTAATTGTTTCTCTGCATGGAACTACATGCAACGAAATTCATTTCTCTAAAACATTTACATATCTATCATTTATAGAGTAAAAGAGCAAGCAGAACTAAGAAGAGAAAAAAGCTACGACAGTCTGAAGAAATTGTAACACACACATTAAACATGGCCCACTTGGAATAAGCATTCAATACAGAAAGATCACCTTTACACAAATCTAAGTAGCCTCCATATGTAACCCCTACACATTAAAAATAATTTTTTTTCTTATTTTTTAAATACAATTCTGTTTCAGTTGTTGAGAGATGATACGAATGGACAACAAATCACACATTCCAAATAAATTGCCTTAATGGCATGTTATCACAAGTTACTTCAAGTTCCAAAGTCAACGGATATTTTTAAACCCACTCATAATGAAAAGAAATTGTTACATTCATTCCATGACTTTGTTACATGAAAAAAATTTATCATAAGCTAAGTTTATTCTTTGCCAATCTTAACTTTAACAATACACTTGTATTTCAATAATTCATTAATGCTGGTAAAGCTTTAAGCAATTAAAGAGTAATCACTTGTGACAATCTACTATTACATCACACAGTCACTTTTTCTAGACTGAATGAATATTCCCTAATTTACATTTAACATTTCTCTTGTTTCTCTTCTTTCTAAAATCTTCAGTTCTTAATATATACAAAGGCAGTGATTTGTGCAATCTTTGGATAGTCCTATGTTTAATTCTCACTGTGTATGATAGTCACAGGTATTTCTAACAGAAATTCACCAGTGTTGAGGAATGCTCCTTTGTGCCTCTTCTAATCCCTGCAATATTAGTGTAGATGCTGAGAGATCCACAATGAATCATTTATCCCTCGGCATCTATTATTTATCGCGTCCTCTTCTAACACGACTGACCTCGAACTCCCTTTCTCTATCCTACAAACACATATACATGAACATATTATAAAGTGCGCACACAAATATATAATTCCTGCAGAAACATTGAAGAGCCAATGAAATTATATGCAATTTATTTCAATAATTTTGTTTTATTTTTTTATTAAACCAATAGGTCAACAATAGGCCTAAGCCAAAAACACAGAGTAAAACCTGTCTAAGACAGAACTTCTGTAATCCTGGCCAAAAAATCTCAGACCAGAACGATTTTTTAAAGTGAAAATCACCTTTACATGTGGAGGAGTGAAGGGTGACATCCTGAGACAACAGAGTGAGCAACAAGTTTTTCCTCTTATACCTGCTCATGGGGAATCTTTGGGGAACTTGGCGAGTGTTTTGCTGCAACTTTCTCATGCTTTGGTATGGTTTTCAAGGTTGCAACAAAAGCGACTTCACTGCTGATGCTCTAAATCCTTAATATTGATCATCCTCACCCCATTTTGCCGCTTCTCAAGACGACCTTGTGTTGATAGAACTGCAGCAGGACGGGGGAGGGTTTAAAAAACCATATGGCCAATGATGAGCCTACCTTAAAGCAACTATGAGGATTCAATAAGATTTAATTTTGTAAATATTGAACATTTGCTAAATTTGTACGATAATTGCGAGATAAATGCTTTTCTTATTTTTTCCTGTGTTTTGTTGTTGATTTTTTTATTTTATGGAATATTCTTATTGATAAATTATGTTTGATTTTCATTATTTTCTTTTACTAAAAAAATTAGAACATTAAAAATACAATACTCAAGATATATGATGAATTTTTGGGAATCCTCTATAAGTTGGAAAGCTGAAAAAGTGGAAGTTTTTGAAGGAACTGCCGGGTTTTGTGTAAAGGCAGGTTGTTCTGTATGTCCAAATGGTTATATCAGCGCCAGAATATGAACACACCAAATATACAGAAGTATTAACAAATGGTGTTTCAATGGTACAGACTAGGGTCATCTAACCAGCTCTATTAGGACTGCAGAGCAAACTGCTTCAAAGCCTGTAGTCAGAATGAGCACTTCAACGGCCAATGAAAGATGCAGGTAGGTTCTGCTTGACGAGATACGATACGGCAAAGAACAGAGCTGATGGTTCACAGAACAAACCATTAACTCACAAAACATATTATAAATCAACTTTAAGGCAAACTTTAGACTGCAAGGTTTTGTCAATTTTTCTTTCATTAGTCAAGTTCAGAGCCTTTCAGTTGATCAAGTCGTCTCTTTTGGAAAACCAATTAAGTTCTGATTGATTGATTTTTGTTAAAAAACAGTAAATACTGTATGTGATGTATGGATAAGAAAAACACAATAAAAAATTAAGAACATGCACTTTGAAAATTGAACATGAAAATTGATTTAATTACTACAGTGCTTTACTGCTGCAGACTTCACAAGTTCAAAATTTCCTTTTACAATCTCCCCCCCCCCTCCCCCTTAATTTCATGTTTTGAATTACATTGACCCACAAATTGAGATCTTTAGCTGTCCATAGACAACTTTCAACATGAATTTGAGATACATATTATTAAATTACAATGGGATTCAGAGTTGAAAAATAAATTGAAACAAAGTACAATCTGTGTAACTTAAAAAAAAAAATAATAAACAATTTTTCTTTTTTTGCAAACTTTATTAAATTCCGTTAAAAAGTTCAATATTTGATGAGTTCTTGAAACAAGTTGCACTGAGTTAGCAGTGCCAAATATACAAGACCTGATTCCAAGCAAAATGATATAACTGTTCTAGACATAATTCTTAAAAATATACTTTTTTGAATTCTTCTGTAAAAGAAAGACAAAAATTCCATTTCAAACATAAGTTTTTGTTAGTTTGATCCTTTTTACTTTGGCTTATACTAGTGTACCGAACACAAAATGCAGCTGCAAAAATGGAGATTTTTTGGCAGAAAACCCCATTTTTGTGGGCCTCTTATACTGAAAAAAGAGGATAATTCTTGCTTATATTCTTGCAAATTATTCCCTCTAATATTGGACAGAATCCATGTTTTGCGGATCCTTGATACAGAAAAATTAGTTTACGCTAAAACCACTGTTTGGGAAAAACACAAAACTGTAGGCAATTTTTTCAAAAAATTAATATTCCCTGATCAATCTGGAAGACTTTGTGGACCCTTAAATTTGAAATTTTGATGTTTGGAGACACTTCATGTGAAGGCTTGACAACATTTTAAATTGTTCCTGAAAGTGGCTCCATACTACATCATGCAACTAAGCTGTTAATACATGGATGACCTTTAGTTTAGGAAGTATGGTTTGTTCAAGATTCTGACCTTATTGCCTCGTTCAAGACCCCTATGTCCTCTTTCACCACGCGAACTGTGATCAGTGTAGCGACCGGGATCACGAGGCCCTCTCCTGCCAGATTCCTTCTCATCATCCACATAACCACCAACACGTTGCCACACACTACCACGTCCTTTGCTCTCAGAGTGCCCTCTGGCTTCTTGGTTTCTGCAACACATTTTTTGCTGATTATATAGTCATAATAGATAATGTTAATTAACTGCACTATTAAAAATTGAGAGACAGTCAAGATAACTACGGCATGCACGTAGTGCCAATTTCTGCACCTAGGACTGCAGGTTCTAATCCCATCTGGCCATGCATGTTCACCTATGTGTTGTGGCATGGTGTGCTTTCACACACTGCATCGCCTTTTCAAGCATTTCCTAACCTTCACGGTTTGTGTACATGTCACAGAAGCCTGCGGAGCGAGCTACCTTAATGTTTCACATGGGCAGCGCCATTCCCTAGTATGATTGCGTAGGCTTCCACAGCCAGAGTTTGTATTTTCTAGACTACCTGGGATGAGCTAAGCCTCTGTTGCGGCTGATGTTTCGGCCAACATGTGGCCTTCTTCAGAGCTTCAAACAGCTAGCAAGGCTGCCTTATATGGGGGAGAAACAGTAAGCGAATCAATCCCGTTCCAGGTTCCACCAGGGCACTCAGAGGAAGGCCATAACATGTTGGCCGAAACTTCAACCACCATAACAGAGACGAGGCTCATTCCGGATACCCTAGAAAATGCCATTCCCTAGTATTTGTCCTCCTGCTAGGTATAGTGCAGTGCAACACCAGGTGTATGATGTATGGACCTAAGGATCGCTTCTTAGATATGGACATGAATGACATAAACAATGACAATTCACATATAATTAAAGAGATTTAAAAAATAACACCTAAGAAATTTGTTTGTAATGCTAGTACAACAGTGCAAAGAATAGGAAAGTTTAAACACTTATGTATAAAATACAAATCAAGGCAATAGTAATCACAACATTGGAAAGAAGGTTCTAAATGTATTAATGTTGACAGACATTTTTGCTAATTCATTTTCTGTAGTTTTTTGTCTTTCGTTTTTCCTAACAAACTGTGTAGTTTATACAAAAAACGTTAGTAGAGGTTTGCCAGCACAAGGTCCAGAAGGCTCTTGTATACACATCAGATCTGACCAGAAGCCATGGACCATTCGGTGTCAAAACGCATCGATTGAAAAATTGTGTTGATTGTGAAAACGCATTGGTTATAAAATTAAGTACTCTTCAAAACAACTTCATATTAAGTTCAATATCATATGATGCCATTTTGCTTGTGTCATTCATGAAGTTCTTGTGGAAGTGAACCAATTCTTTCACATCTAGTACGGTAAGGGATAAGAGCCAAATAATGTATACTTCATTATAAAATTGTCTGTTTATTAATACTAACTAAACAGCCAATAAATTAATACTGAATAACAATTGAATAACAATTGAATAATATATGATTAATACATAAATAAAGCAATAAAGCAAATAAAAAACAAATCAATTAATAAATGAACCAATCAGATGTGAGAATGCACTCACCTTCCACTACTCTCTTTATTTCTTTCATCCACAGGATCAACACTGCTCAACTGCTGTTCACGATCTAAACAGAACAAATCAGTAAAGAAAATCATGAAAACTAAACATTTCATCAACCATTAAATACAAACAGTAATGTGAAGAAAGTCTATTATTTTTTTCAATTATAGAACATGAAAATAAAATACTTTTATTTCAATAAGTAAATATGTACATTAATTGATGATTCAACTTATTAATTTATCATACTTGTCAAAAACATCTATACACTCAGGAGATAGGGATTATTTTTGTAACACGGTGCATGAAGGGGGCAGATTCATTATACCACAAGACTTCATGGGCTTGCATAACAAGCTGAAAACTAGTGAAATGAGATCTAGATTAGGTTAGTCCTCAGAGGTTCACTATAGCCAGAGTCAATGGCTCTAAACTAACTCAGCCAGTTTATGATGTACAATAATTGGCACATTAGCATAGATAGAGATTTTAAAAGCATATGCGTTGTCTTTAAATGAATAAATAGATTATTATTTTTTAATTAAATGAAGAGTGAAATTTGCAAGAAGCAAGATAAGAGGAAATTTTTAATGCTTACAGTCACTTGCGGAATAGAAGATGCCTGCGTTGGGGTCATTGCTATCCCAATCCGCTTGGTTAAACGGGATCTCGTAGGGAGCAAGCTCCTCCTCTTCCTCTGGAACTCTGTTATTTAACAAAATACGAATTAGGGCACTTTCAAAACACAACAAAGTCAGAAAAATCTCAACTTTTGATAGCTCAAGAAATAAAACATTCATTTCATTCTACAGCAAATACATATGAAATTATTGTTTTACTTCAGTTTCAACTTTAATGGGGCATATGACAGACATTTTCTAACATAATGTACATGACATTTATTCTGATAAGCGACTAGTACAGGAAAACCCTACCTATCCTTCCCTTGTTGTTTTGCAGGAAAATGTTCAAACAACACAATATGTTGCTTTACAGAATCCACCAGTGAAAAGAACATGCAAGGAGAAGTAAAGAAAACAGTGACTACAAAAATACAACCAATGTTTTAAAGATACAGGATAAAGGAGAAAATGTAAATAAAGCTGTAGTGGACTGAGAGAAGAGGGCCAAACAATAATAATTAGCTAGAATTATTTTCATAGTAAACAATTTTAGATAAGGTTTTATGTTTTCATCCATGGTGGAACACTGGTGACAGAAATTCAGTTATAAACATTTACTTATTACTAACTCTCACATTTACTTCAAATGAATGCATTATAAAGAGACTCTACTTCTAAGAAAATTCAGCATTACTGCACTGTTTGAATGCGCTTATGACACTGAATTATCAATATCATAATTTCTCAAATAAGAGGCCAGCCAAGAAGTAGTAGAACAGGGGTTTGCACAGAGGTCCCCAGCCAGAATGGGTTCATTTGTTCCGAGTTCACCTCAATTTTTTACTATCATTTTTGTATTGCTAAATCTGTTCCAAAAAAGGAACACCACTTTTACCCAAATATAAGTCAACTCTGAATATAAGACAACCAAATTTTGAAGACGAGAATGAGAATTTTTAAAATTTTTAACTAATTCTTACTAATAAGTTAAAACGAAATTTCAACTTGTCTAATTGATTAGAAAATTGCTTATTGATGAAAATGTTGATTGCTTTTTGCCTGAACTACCATTTTCTTGTTTCTTAAAATCATCATAAACATCGTTTTTGTCACTACCCTAAACATCTTTCTTTTTGGTCCTCCTTCCATGCTATGACATTTTAGGGCCCTATAACAGTTTTCTGCATTGTTATTAGTCTTGAATCTGACACCACTGAAGAACATTCACTTCTGTGTCCCCAGATTTTCAAACATTCGTTTGAGATTCTCTATTTACCAGTCTAATTAAAAGTGCTGTCCTAAATAGCCCAGCAAATTCATGGAGGATGTCAAGAATTCGACGATGAATATAATTATATAGTATTAGATATATGTTATATTTTTATATTCTTATTATACAAGTATTATATTATATTTTTATTATTTTCAAAGCTTAATGTTACAACAGCAATTACGAATTTCACGTCATGGAAAGGCAATGTAAAAATATAAATCTTAAACAACTAGGCTAAATCTGCAAGTATAAGGCAACCTTGTATTTTTGGAATGAGATATTCAGGCAAAAAAACCTTGTCTTATATTCGGATATTCACTGAAAATGGAAATCAAAATTTCTATCACGATACACCAAGGAATACAGAACTTGGTAGTTCTAGAGAAAGAGGCACATGTTCACTATATTCAATGGTGATTGACAATTTGACAACATGAATGAAATCAGTGATTCTGAACACAATCTCAGATTGTAGTTGAAGACTGGCTGTGAAAATGATGGAAAAAAGAAGAGACTGCTGTGATTTTAAACAAGAATTTGAAGATGTCAAATACAATGTACCTTTTACTACAACTTCTTGTCTCTGACGATTATTAAAACATAATATTAAAGGAACAGATTAGAAATTATTTGAAGAAAAGCATACACAGCAGCAAAAATCCATGCTGAAAGTTACATAGTAAGCAAACTATAACAAGGCAAATTATGAATTGAGGCAACCCACACAGTGATCGCCACAAGAGATTAACCACCATCCAAACAGAAATACTAATATTACTTCCCTCTTCACACAAAACTCCAACTCTAGGAGAAGCATTTCCTCTCTCAATCTACAGTTTAATGCTCAAGATTTTAGTCAATCTCATATTTATTTTAATGGCCAGAGGCACTCAAAAGCAAGAACTCTTACCTGGAAATGTTCAATGGCATTGTCAAAACCTGCCATTCCTTTGTTTTTCGGTGATAGTTAAGGTTCCATGTGGTTCATTTGAATAATTTTAGCTGCTCACTTATATAGGCTTATTTCACAACCCATTCAGACACAACAGCAATTAATATAACACTAATTTTTGCCGAATTATATTGAGGGTTATGGTTGGCGATTAATATGATTCATAGCTACTTCACATACTGCTTAACGTACGCTGGGGCTGAGGTACTTCCTTGTTTTTGCCAACTGGAGAATATTCCCATAAAGCCAACTTCTTTATGTGGCTACAATGCAAGAATAGTTTACCTCAAACCATCTATTTAAAGAAGTATTTTTTACACAAATTATTATGTGAGTAAGAGTTGGTATATTGTGAATTTAGTTGAAAGTGAATAGCACATGCTCTTTGATATTCGGAGGTTGTAACTGTCTTTTTATTGATGAGCAGGTCTTACTTTAAATTTCTCTATAAAAGAATTCATAAGAGGGCTAGATTGTAAGTAATGGCAACTCTCTCTCTCATTTGTGAGAATATAAGCTCAGATGAAAATTATGAAATATACACAGGAAAGAGCATGGATACAACACACCAAAATTGGTTTTCTACGGAAGAATACATTTCACAAAGCAATGTGTCTTTGATGTTCTTTTACTGTTTTAGAACCAGATGACAAAAGCTATAAAGCTAGCAGTTAGTCAGGCTAGTAGGTTCAGCTAACATCCTTTGGCCAGAGCAAAACATATAGTGAGGATTGGACAGCTCTCAAAAGGTATCTCCAATCCAGTCCTTACCTGACAACCTAACTCTACTTATATGATGGCTGAGCAACACTATGCAAATGAAAATTTCAAGCACAATCACTATGTGGAAAAGTGTACATTTCAAGTTCCAGATTGTTTTAGCACCTCAAACTTTTCATAAGAACTACATGTGACCTCAACTATCACTGGCACAAAATAATAATAATAATAATAATAATAATAATAATAATAATAATAATAATAATAATGATGATGATGATGATGATGATGATGATGATGATGATGATAATAATAATAATAATAATAATAATAATAATAAAAATAATAATTAATTTAAAAAGAATCAAGGCAGGTTTCAATGAGACATAACAATCGACCTGCCTTGTTAGTAACAAAGGAGGCATTACACACTCTCTGGGCATATTTAATGCAACATACTGCATGAACAACTGAACTTGCTACCAGGCGGCCCAGCCCCTCTCTGAGCAGCTTTTCGTTTACGAATGGAGGAAGAGGAGGCTTCCCAGAGAGGCACTCCAACTCCACACGTACATAAGCACTCGCCTTTCCCACCGGCTCCCGCCACCCCCACCGCCTGAGGACTGCCAGCCCTTGTGTGGTGCTTCGTGCACATTTTGCCATCCAGCAGCTTCCTGCACAGAGCCTGGAAAATAAGACACCCTAGAATTTTCAAAATGAATTACAAAACATATTCTACCAGAATATTGCAGAAATCAATCAATGTTTTTTGAAGTAACATGTGACATGTTTTTTGAAGTAACTGTGAACATCATTACCGCCTCAACCGCACACAGGGTTTTCACCAAAATTAACATTCCTTAATCAATCTGGCATGTCACAGCCCCTCAAATTTGACACACTTTAATTTTTGAGGGTACTTTACATGAAGCTCCTTTATAAGTTTTATCCAAAATGGTGCCAAATATTTTGCTCTAATACAGTATATTTGGTTTCCTTTTTTGTTAAGTGGTTAATAATATGGTGTACTATTTTCATTAAAACCTTTGGAATTTCAAAAATTATATAAGTTTTGAAAATAATTCAGTTTTGATCCTTTGTAATAGAAACTATTTGAATCAGCAAACAATCCACAGATTTTATTTAATAATACTACTGACAAAGAAACCGCCTCTTCTCTAGCAAAATAAAGAGTTCCCAAAAACATTAACAGATAAAAAACCTGCATTTACAATCCATAAGCAAAGCAAATCTTGATTAAAGCTTAAGATTTCAAACCATGCGTGGGCCAAAGATTTTGCTTCTAGTCTATAACTTTCGCAAATGAAATGAACAGATTTTGCTAACAAACACCTCATTTGAGACTAGGTGAAGAAATATTCAGCTACTAATAAATAGTTGTTCTCGACTAGTAACTCGACTAATAAACTAGATTCCTAACTAGCAAACTAAGATTCCTAACTAACAAACTAAGATTCCTAACTAACAGCAATTTGGTACTAAATAGTTTTCTTTGCAGAACGATTGCCAATGTTAACGAATTTGTTTCTAAAGTAGCACCGTGTTAACATATTTGTTGATTATTTAAATACACTAATTAACTCTTCTATTAAATAAATCACAGCACTGCTGTGATATATTATTGCTATTTATATTTTCTTAATTTGATTATAAGCCTGTAAATTGGTATATCCCATTGGATTTGGACATTAATACATAAAATGAAAAAAATAACAACCACACCCACCTTCCTTCCCTAGGAACTGTCCCACTGAGCCGCTTGGGCCTGCTTGGCCTGAAGGAATGAATGGAGCGCCATGTGACTCTTGAGCAGACACCATCCTGAAATTGCACATCACACCAGTTAAGACTCCCTGATTCAAAGAGTTTATGCTAATTCTTAGTATGTGAACTACAAGCAAGAGAAGAATTTTCTAAGTGTTATTTGTGATCATAGATAACAAGCACAATTTGACTTCTTTCTAAAACATCAAAATATGAGCCCAATATACCTAAAGGAGTTTTGTGTGAAGATTTATTTAAAGATGTTTAATTTACCTGTTTATTAACTTGTATACTATATATCATACTATATTGTCAGTGAAAAAACAATACCACGTATCCGACTTTTCAATATTTTGTTTGTTTTTAGATGTGTTGGCATCCCTGACACAGAGAGTATCATTTGATCGAGTAAGGAAAAGTATTTCAACAATTTTCATTAGTTAAAATGCGTTTCCCTCTCTTTTAAATGGTACCTCTACGTCAGGGATGCAAACACATCTAAAAACAAAAACAAATATCAAAAAGTCAGTTTTGTGGTATTGTTTCCTCACCAATGATATAAATATCAATAAATAAAAAAATGCTGAATCTAACTGAATGACATACAACATCATTCATTATCATCTCAAAAGATTCTTTTGAGAAAACTTGTAAAACTTTCATTCTCACTCCTTAATAAATGAATTTCTGAAAATTATCTAACACCATAGAAAACGTTTAAGAATATAATGCTGAGAATTCTTCTCAATGAACACAATGGTTTGGTTTTCATTTCTGTAATTATACATAATACTATTTATTACTATTTCACAGTTTCTGAATATTTTGGTCTCCTAAAAGTTCAATAGAAAAGAAACTTTCAGAATATTAGAAGAGCAAAAGTTTTTACACAGTAATTTTCAAAAAATTAATTTAGAGCCAATAATTGTTTAATAATTTGTCCTTTGAGCACTTCTAAAAATGTGTGTCAGTGTTGTGTCGGCATGTATGAGTTGTATCCAAAAATTAATAATTAATATTATATTTATTCACTTAAATTTGTACTTTAAATGAAAAATTTGAGTTACTGTGTCTAAGAAAATGAAATTCTTTCAATGGACTTTCGCTGCAGGTGGAAAATATTTAACTCTTCTCCTGCACCTGGTTCTGCAGAAGTAACTTCAACTCCAATCATAGAGAAAGAAAAAAAAAGATGAATATTCTTTTATTGTTCACCTGTCATGTAAATTTCTTTCTGTTGGTTCAAGCTTCTTGTCAATATTTCCTATAAGTTGGAACCCAGGGCCTTGTGGATCTCTGCCTGTAAATTAATTATGTTGATAAAACATAAATGATAAAGAAATACAGAAGAACTCCAATTATCCTAAGCAAAGCCTGTGAAACATACACACACATCCCAAAGCATACCACATAAACACATATTATCCTTTTAAATTTCAAAAAATTATACAACAAAGAAGTACATAGTATTTTTGCACAAAAATGTGGTTTATATCACAATATATATGAAACAATATGATCAATGACTTCATTTGGCACTTATCATAAATATATTGGTTTACTGTCATTCCATTGCTGTTTGGTTGACCTTCTATAACATTCACAAGCTGTAGACTTTTTGTGATTTCATGAACCTAAAGATGGGAGGAAGAGTCTCCAAAACATTTTTGTTATTCCAATATTTTTACTAATAATTTTGTATATTTTTCCAACAGACACCTATTGTCCCCTTTAAACCAAAATTTGATTCATAAACTCTGATGGATTTTTTTTTATTCATTCTCAAAAATCCTGAACAATAATTTAAACATAGCCAAAAAACTTTCTTAAAAATAAAACTCCTGAGAGTAGATTTGGAGAAAAATGTTCTTGTCAAAATTTACTTTTTCCTCCTGGAGCTATCTACTATAAGAGAGAACAGGATGCTTCAAATACACTTACTGTCTAGTCCTTCGGTACACGGCCTACTAGGTCGGTCACCAAGGCTGGTTTCCAGCCGCTGCTGCTTCCTAGGAGGGCTGTGGCGACTTCGATCAACATTGGAAGGCAAACTATTCGGAAAAAAACAAATCAAATGGGAAAACTTCATAACTGTGTTAAGCCATGCAAGACTGTCAACGGACTCCTCCATACAAAAGTCACTGGAACATTACTGTAATTACAGTTGGTGTGCTATATTCAGGGTTGGTGAAACTTTCCCCAGACCACAAAAAAAAAACTAAAAAGAACCCTTGAAGAGCCCATAAAAACTCTTTCAAACCTTTTTATGATTTTTAAAACTATTTTAAATAAATTATCAAAACATAATTTTATGCATCAAAATATTAATTAAAACTTCAAATTTAATCACAATGAACACATACAAACAATAAACAACACAGGTATAAAATGAAGTAAACTTACAATAAAATATAAATGTCTATTTCATCACAACAAATACAAGGACTGGCAAACTTACTTCACAACTTTGCTACAAGTTACTTCATTACCCATACATAATTATAATAACGAAAATGTATGTTAGCTTTAATGATTATATGAATTTGAAATCTTAAAACTGGAGGGGGAGGGAGGAGCCTTGGACGCACGATAATTATACTTGACTGTTCCTAGTGTATTTCAATTTGTCTGTCCATATGATGAAAATCAGTGTTTTATATGAACCAAATTAGAAAAGTAATATTTTTCATTCTTCTACTCTTCACAGTTTAGGCAACTACCTGTCCTGTTTTCACTGTCTTCTCCTTCCACTTTCTCGTCAGTCTTCCCATATCTCTTCCTTTCACTGCATAGTAGAAAGCGGCTTACGGAAGCCTAGTATCTTCTCTTCTTCCAATACGTTACATCTTTTTTTTTCTTTATACTTTTGCATCCTAGTGTTTATTGTTTCCACTTTTAATTCTTTTCTAATGTTTTAATTTCGACACCTTTCTTCTCTTGAATGCCCTTTAATTTTGTCCAAAATTTCACTTGTCTGTAACCTTTCCACTCTTCTCTTTGTAAGTACCCTGCTTTCACAACCATAAAGCAGCACAGGAATTGCCAGTTTTGTATATTTCTATTTACATTTCTTGTCTGGTTTCAGTTTTTAGGACGTTGAGAATGGTTTCAAATACTGTTTGGAATCTTAAAGTTTGTTTTCTGAGCCTTTGTCTTTCTGACTAACTTATTACCTTCTTTTATCCTTCTGATCACCCAAACATCACCTTTCATAGAGGAGAGTTGTTCTAAAATTTTGATATTAACGACTATTTGGGACCTATGAGGGGTGTTCGATAAATAACTTATTTCGATATAAAAAACAATGTCTGAGATTTGTAACTTACCTTATTTTTCGACATAATTCCCTCGAAGTTCAGCACACTTGACCCAACTTTTCTCCAGGATCAGGATCCCTTCTCTAAAGTGATTTTCATCAAGACCTTCGAAACAGTCATTGACTATATGGATGGCTTTTACAATGCTGACAAATTTTTGCCCAGCCAGGAAAGATTTTAATTTTGGGAACAAATGAAAGCCCGAGGGAGTCAATTCAGGTGAATAGGGCGGATGTGGAAGCAGTTGGAAACGAAGTTCAGAGCATTTTTGCTGGGCGATATGGCTTGAATGTGCTGGGGCATTATCGTGATGGAACAACACTTTTTTCTTGCCATTCCAGGATGTTTATCTGTGATAGCTGCTTTGAGTTGGTCCAGAAGTGATGCATACTATTTTCCAGTGATGGTTATTCCCTTTTCCAGGTAGTCTATAAGAATACCTTTAGCATCCCAAAAGACTGACACTATCACCTCCTGCAAACACTTGACAGATGTTCTCATGCAGTTTCATCTCTGCAGTCAGCAATCATGGCACCCATCTTACGCAAAGCTTATTCATGCTCAATTCATGATGCAAAATAAAATGCACTCGGTCATTTGAGATACTTGTGGCCTCTGCTAACTCGCGCACTTTCACTCGTATCTGCTAAAACAATATCATGGATTTTGTCATGTTTTCTGGTGTCACAGCTGTTTTTGGTGCACCAGGTCTTGGGGCAACTTCAATGCTTGTCCTGCCTCATTTAAATTCGTTGACCCAAAGTCTCTCTGTCTTGTATGAAGGGCATGAATCACCCAATGTAGTCGCTATCCTTTCAAGAATTTCTTTCGCATTTTTACCTTTCATAAAAAAAAATTAGATAACACCATGAATTCCAGTTCTATCTACCTTTCACACTGTCTCGCAAATGCTTTTGTTCAAGTCTCTTTCCAACAATGAGCTAGTGATAATGACTTGCAACAATGAAATTTTACCGTATATTGTTGTACCTTTAAATTAAAATTCACAGAAGTTGCTTTCTTCAACTCTTAGTAGGCGAACCAAGTTACTTTTCGTACAACCTCCGTATTTGAGGTCTTCCCCCAATTTCATATTTTTACATTCTCGCCTACTGCTTACACATTATAGAAGAAGTATGGTAATGCTGCAGGAAAAACTTTCTAGTGAGGCAAATTTTTTTTTTACAGAAAAGCTCTTATTGCCAAACCTTGTAATGAAAAAGTTGAACAATAAATGTTGTTCCTGTATATAGTAAATTACTTCCTAAAACACAGAGTGTAGTCGGAATCCTAGTTTGATGGGTCCTTGATACTGAAAAAACAATTGACAGCAGAGCATCTGTCCATCCATCTCGTGAACAACACAAGCAACTACACCAGAAGCACGATTATCACCAAAATTATATACTCCACAATCAATCTGCGTGATGTAGCAGCCTGTTGAATTTGAAATGGATATTTTGATTTTGACTTGCAGTGGTGAAGCTGACTTAGACCAGCATACAAATACAAATGGACTCTCATTAGCATGTTCCTGTTGATCATGTTTTCCTCCATTGGATGCATTTATTTTTAAGTTGCAGTCCCAATTCCTTTAACCCATTAGTGCCTGGATTATTTCTTTTCTGAATTTTTATATTTCAGCTTATTTCCCTGCTTCTATTACTTGTCTGGTAACCCTTCAGAAAAATCATTTTAAACATTTCTAATGTAAGATATTCAAGAAAAGAACTGTATCCATAAAGGCATGCTAGGATATAACATTGTCAATATGGTGAATAACTGAAAAGAACAATTTTTATTTTTCAAATATTTTATACTAAGGAAGTTATTATAGATGTATGGGCTGAAAAACTATTCTGAATTTAAAAAAATCTGAGTACAAATTTCAAAGCAATGTGTAAAAATAACTGATTATGAGGCATAAGAGTAGCAAAATAAAAATACAATTGTGAACTAAACATCCAGAAGATCAAAAGATACTCAAAACAGTATGAAAAATAATACTTCTAGCTATAAAAAAATTACTTCTTTACAACTTTACATACAAATTACTTCTCAAAACTTTCTACACGAAGATAAGACTTCAGATTTTGTGTCTGTCATGCTAACAGCAGATTATCCCTTCCAGCAATACCTTTGACACCTCCTTTTCTAGACAAATTTACATGACAAAATTTCAAGATCAGTCAAATGCATTTCAGCACCAGGTTTTTTGCTTGTGCTGGGCCGCAACTTTTGATACATTCTAAAATTTGTACCAGTACACTTCAACTAGTTCAAAATCTACTCAAATAGATTTCTTCTCATTACATTTGATATCAGTTCTAGTAAGAGTCATTAGGTGCTACACCCCAACAATTTCTTTTGTATTGTGGTTAGAATTAGTGTGCCCCAAACACATTATTTCTTCACTAGTTAAAAATATGAGATTGGGCAAATTTGTACATAAAATATTTATTATTTTTAATGAATTAATAAATATGTATTATTAATTTGTGTATTGAATATTATCACACTAGTATCACCTTTCTTACAAACCAGACAGATCTTTGCAATCATTCAGTAAACTACAAAAGCAACCAACAGAATAACAGCAATAAAGTTGAATTCCTCAACTAGTGTTTACTGTATACAGTTGGGGGGAGAGAGAGAGAGAGAGAGAGAGAGAGAGAGAGAGAGAGAGAGAGAGGGAGGGAGAAAAAGAGAGAGAGAGGGAGAAAGAGAGAGAGAGAGAGAGAGGGAGAAAGAGAGAGAGAGGGAGAAAGAGAGAGAGAGGGAGAAAGAGAGGGAGAAAGAGAGAGAGGGAGAAAGAGAGGGAGAAAGAGAGAGAGGAGAAAGAGAGGGAGAAAGAGAGAGAGGAGAAAGAGGGAGAAAGAGAGAGAGGGAGAAAGAGAGAGAGAAAAAGAGAGAGGGAGAAAGAGAGAGAAAAAGAGAGAGGGAGAAAGAGAGAGAGAGGGAGAGAGAAGAGAAAAAAAGAAGAAAAAAAAGAAGAGAAAAAACTTTACATGAACATTCAGGATTTTGGGGTTACAACTGCATAAACACTTTCGGCATTCACTGAGCAGTGAGCCACTGCTCGCTCACTCCCGAACAGCTGATGTGTTGGGCAAATGTTCGCTCCCTTAGATGTGTCCTAAAGACCGACACGCAGTGGTTAGGGGGAATACAGAATGTTCAGCGAATCGCAAGCAACCCGTCCACACGATTCGGAAAGTGGCTCTTCAGGATTCACCAAATGCCACATGTGTGGAGTCACCTTAATATTTATGTATATTACCACATGTCCCTTTGAATTTGATAGTCAGAGGATGTGAATTTTTTCCCTCCATTTCGTATGCATTATTTTTAGTTGCAAATGAGAAATGTTTGCTCTGGTTCCCAAAAAAGAGCTGGAAGATTATACAGCAAACCTGGCAAAAGAAATCAGCAGGAGAAAGCAGATGGTGATTAGAAACTAATCCCTTCTCATACATTTTCTAGATATAAGTAAAATGAAAACAAGACAAAAACACGCAAGCCTGGAAGACCAGAAGAACATTTTGAGGGAAGTACATAACAGTGGATGGACAAAGGTAGAACCCCACTCTACAAACTTACAACTAACCATGAAATTTTGTTCATGGGCCCAATAGCAATCCCACTGCATTCCCACAGCAGCTCTGGGAGAAGAGAACAATGAAGAGAAAGGGATTCACCAGAGCATAATGCAACATTGCCATTTTCATTCTGCAGGGATTAGGTTGATGAGGAAGACACTGCAGTGACTTTCTGAACACATGGAGTAAAAAACTACATGTACATATGAAAATGAAACTTACCGATGGCTTGGACCACTGCGATTTCCTCTTTCCAATAACTGCCAGTCTCCTCCATGCCTGTCACTTGGAGTTCGCCAACTATCACCACCCCCACCTCCTCCTCTAACCAGTGGTTGCTGATGGCTTGCTTGTCTCCTCTCTGGTGAACGACGTTCACTTCTGCCTACAGGTGACTGTCGACCCACCACTGGTCTTGTTGGAGAAACATGACGTCCACCTGGTTGTTCTATGTTCTGACTCAAGCCCTGATCATCAATTCTGCTCCTCCTCACCGGCGATAAACTCTGACGCCTCGTTCTGTTGAGTGAAGGGCTGGCAGGTCTCCTAGGTCTACTTGGAGAGGACCACTTATGAGGTGAACGATTAGGGCTCACTGGAAAAAGAACAAAATATGCATTTTTAATATACCGTGAACATTGTGCAAGGAGGCACTGCACTTGTAAAAGCAAATATCCCCAACAAATGTGCATTTGGAGACAAATATTTTCAAGGACATTCGTGTCTGTTTAACTCTTCCATATGGGATGCCATGACCTGTACGCACTAGTCCTTTTGCTTCTGTTTCAGGGTGAAGTGACAGATAAGCAAAGGTTCTCTCCATTTTCTCACATTTTCTCCATTTTCACACCCGTGGTTTGCCATGCCCTAAATGGAAAGTTTGTTTAGTTCTGTTACAGCCATTGTTGCTTGTGCTTTGTGCACAGTCTCATTGCTAGTATTCATATATTCAGGTGCTAACATACTAAGAAAAATTTTAAATTATTTTGATCGTTTTTAATTAATTTTAAGTGCACAAGTCTTTTATTTTTGTGATTAAACACATTTTCAAGAAATTCCACCATAAGTACTTCAATATTTTTATCACTAATGTCCTTGGACCATTTCGAAATAATACTATGTAAGTTTCTTCATTTTGTTGTCAACAAAAAAGAAGGCCCAAAAAATCTGTTTAAAATTTACCCAGTTCTAAATCATTTAAATGACAAATTTAACAAATATTATTTGCCTTGGCCAAATGTTACCACAGATGAATCTTTAACATTGTGCTTTAACATCATTGCTTATGATTTACAAAGTACATTCCTCCAAAAACTGTCAAATTTGGAATAAAAATATTTGAATTGTGAGAATTTGCTACATGGTATTTGTGGCCTTTTTGTTTGTATACACAGGACAGGCACTGGCATAAGCTCATCATTGGCAGTATAGTGTGACAACAAAACCAGTGAGATTGTGATCCAATTAGCCCATTGCTAATGGGATAATGCACGGACGGACAATTATTATATTTCTCCAGAGGCACTAAAGCAACACTGAAGAACCACCATTCCAACTGTGTAGGAATACTTCTGATACATAGAAAGAATGTTCCCAAAGAAGAAGCTGAATTGCGATGAACATGTTGCTCAGGGTTCACGTAATTTCTCGTTAATAAAGTGAATAAACAAAATACCTGTAACAAAGATTAGTACTTAGCACTAAAACTATTTTAAAACTGTTAAAACCAAACTTAAAAAGGTTTGCAGAAGCTAGTGTGTTATTGACTTCAATATGTCCGTGGTAGGAGTAGGCTTGAAAAATCAATATCTGCAAACTTATTTAATGTAAGACTGGAAGATAGAATGAAAAAATGTTCACAAGATTATTGAGTATGACTGCCTTCAATTCTTTTGGAAAGCTAACAATCCAAATTCTATAATTGATATACTTAAATTTCACATGAATCTTGAAGAAAAATTATTCATGGCACATTTGACAGAGAGACGAAGTCCAAAACAAAGTAGAACTTTTTATAGAGACGCACTTCATAACGAAAATTCCTCCGGTAGGAAATACAGACTGCAGAAAAGGTATGTTGCTTGCCAGAGGAAGAGAAAAAGAAAACAACCTTGTTACTGGCATTCAGACTGCAGTGGGACTGGCTGTAAAGAATACCACACAAAAGTAAATTACAAAGTTTTTATGTACCAATTTGTAAATATCCAATTCCATGTACGAATACTATATGAAGTTATCCTTGCAATTATAAATACTATTTTAAATTGATCAAAAACTGCACATTACTGTTGTTGCCTTTACTGATATTAGCAATAAATGTACCAGATATTTTATATTGTGTAGATATTGCTTATTTATGTTTTATTGTTTTATCATTTTTGCCCAAACATGTATTTTAAAATAACCAAGTTAATCCTTTGACTGCTCTAGACGAGTTGATATGCATAATATTTCTATGTGTTGTAGCCTCTGGACGAGTTATTACACTCAGTCAGGTTGACGCTAAGAGCCTCCGACGAGATAATATGTGGAACCGCGATGTCCCGGGAGCCTCTAGACGAGTTCGCTCGAGCAGATGTGCTTTTCGCTATCGCTAAAACTTTGATAATTGAGATGTTTTATGCAATATCTACATGCAAGCGAGCTCAGCTCATAACAAGTGGCCTGCAGTGAAAAGCATGACGCAAGACACGTGACTTATAGTCGGCCGACCCATAGCAGTTAAAGGGTTAATAGCAGGGGTCCAGCTGACAGAGGCTTGCCAAATGCAACGTCAACAGTACATTTCTCCCACGGCTGGATTTGCCCAGCCACTTGCAAGGCACCACAACCGGGAAGGTCGTACCCTTTCTCTTTGTTTGCAGTAGAATGATGTGGTGGCCGTTCAACACACAACATGGAAGGGTTAATAGCTCACTAGGAAGCGACTTTAAGATCAACTATGCTGCCCTTTTCCCTTTTGACGATTGATGGATGAAGATTTTCATTAACCCCCATACAATTGTTATATCAATTAACAATTTCCTCAGTAATTAATACCACCTTCCAAAATCTTCACCGAGCAGTAAATAAGCAAAACAGCTCTTGGAACTATTAAATCCAGCATAAAATGGAACTGCAGTTATTTGGGTCAAATAAAATGAATAACTTATTTCAGATAATTAACATTCCACATGTTTTCTGATGAAAAAAATATCCTACTTGGTGTAATACAAAAAATTGAAGCCAGGAAGGTACATTGCAATGAATTAAATCTCCTTGATCTCCTGCAATAGTGCTAGTATCAGAGAGCATTTGTTTCAAAGCTTATTACATTTCACGCTTATTACATTCTTTCATGCTTATTACATTTCCTCCACTTCCAGCTTTCTGCAAATCTGATTTTACCTTCTGAAATAGAAATAATAGTCTTGTCAACTATTAAAGAAATTTATTATGAAGGCATACCTCTTTTGTCATGAAAGCGATTGATATTATTTTCATGTTCGCCGCTGCTGTCCACTAGATATAATTGCTGCATAGGTTGAGATGGCCTAAAATCAAAAGTAACTTTCAATGGCAAATTTTCTTTTAATAACATTTGAACAGACAAAACTGATGAAATTCAGATGGAAATGCTTTTAATATCTACTACCTCAAAGACACTGACATACAACATGTGGATGAGTGTTGCTATTTTGTTAGCAAAAATATAAAATCATATTCAATTCATTTTCCAACATAATTAAGTTTTCCATTACATGCAAATATTGCAAGTTTTTATCTGCTACTAACCATGCTTTGAAGGTACTTCTATTCATCATTCAACTACTGAGTACAGTAAAAGAGTGGTGCAGGAATCCTGAAGGTCAAGAAAGTAGAGAAAATTATACTTCTCCATAATCACCTACATTTTTTTGCAGTTTTTTATGAAAATAAATGATATCAAAATTAAATCAAACTTGTGAATCACAGTGAGCTATCCTATTCCTTCTCTTTTACTCTACTTTGAATCTAATCCACCTGTGTTTTTCAACTGATCACTTATCCAGGAAAATATCACATTAAAATGTTGGATATCTACAGCCAACTTCCCTCAAAAATTAAATTTAAATACATGTTAAAAAGAAACTTCTTTCCTACATTCTCTAATCACATTTTTTTACTTCACCTTCCTCTTTTTATTTTTTGTTTGCTTTCTTTGTTTTTCTCTCTCTCAAGACTCTGCTAACTTACACGAACCGTCTCACCTATCAGGTATGCAATCGTCTCGGGGTTTCCAACCCCCCCGTGGTCCGCCTCCTTCGCTTCTGCCATGTGGATGCAGCTCACCGCTGCTCCCAGAGCGATTCTTTACTTCTATAAACAAATGCACTATGAATGACGCAGTCCACACATTATGATATAGCAGTCCACACATTAATGTTGTGAGTTTCTCATTATATCATGAGCCTAAAGACAAAAAGAAGCAGGTGAAACACTTACTTCTTTTATTTGGATCCAATTCTTGGGCACCCATCCATTCAAAATTTCGTGGGTCTTCACGGTCTGCTGGCAATCTAAAAATATAATTTTATTTTTAAATGTTCTGGTTTGCTACAAGAAAGATATGAGGCTAAAACATAACTGAAGTGAAGGGGAATCTACAGGTGGCTCACAGGAATTAAGAGTGAATGTTTGTATTATAGAAAATTATAAAGCACACTTTTTAGCTCTAAAGTTGGAACCCACCCCAGAAGTAATATTTTATCTGCTCTAAATAACATTGTTATGTTAAAAAATTTTCATTTGTGAGGCCATTAGGTTACACAAGATAACCAAAATATTGGTAATATATTTCAACAGAGGACATACCTCAGTTGCCTAAGATGAAATTATAGTTTCAAATAAAACAGTGCAAAAAAAACTAGATTTTATTTGTTATAAAGGCATTCTTTATTTTCTACTGGCATGAAAACATTTAATGACAGGAACCTACTGAAAAAAACCAATGCAGGGCGTGGATATAAAAGGCCTCAAAATTGTAGTTTTTGTGATACAATAATTTTCTTGTGCTTGCCTTCTGTCTGTGCAGAGCAATAATCAAACTCATCAAACTATGGCTCTGAGACTGTTCCTGAAGGATATCTTTATGAAATTGATTTAAATCCCTTTAAAAATGTCCATTTACATAAATCTCAAAAGAATTTTTGCATATTATCATATTTTACAACTGAACCCTGTAATTTAAACTGTATCAACAATCACCTGATCACAATTTGAAGTTTATTTACAAAAGTTATACAATCACCAAAGTTTCAAATACAAACATGAAAATTCACAAACTAGATACTTCTTAAAAAAACTTGCTTGTAATATGAGCACACATATGCAAGCTTTTCACAAAGTTGATAACACTAATATTGAATATGTTAAAAGCAGCACTAAATAATATCTCACAAAAAAAGGAAACTATGAGATTAAATTGTAAATGCACACGTGTGCATGCATGAACAGAGCAAGTCTTTTTGAACAAACTTCATTAATGAAATAATTAATGCCAGTAAAATGAAACTTAAAAAATTAAAATAACTAAAAAAGTTAATTCAAATATTGTATGAATGTATTCTTAGAAATGCAATACATACACAGTAGGAGGTGTAACAAACTTAAAAAAGAAAGTATTTTCAGAAACTGTTTTTTCTTTATTTAGAAAAATTACAAAAATCAGGATTCCAGCTTCATCAGAACATGAACACTTCATTACCTCACAGTAGTTTGCCATGATTTCTCTTGTTGCTTAAGATGTGGAATCTTAACACAGATGATTTGACACACATATTGAAGATGCATCACCACCACCAAAGAGAAAACCCACTTTGTTATATAATACAAACAACTGAAAATGTTCGTATGTGAAGGTGGTGGAGTTAAGCCGCAAATCATGACAGCCATATTGCCAATCAGAAAACAAAAATTCTGAGTGTGTTTTCTGCAATCAAAATTCAGGAAATCCATCACAGCAATTTCTGGGTTTGCAAATAACCCACCAAGACTATCCCCTAGACTTTTAGTCTCAGGAAGTGCAGTTCTTTGCAAGTGAAGAGATAGTGTTTAAATGCAACAGTACCCAAAACACATTCCACAAGAACCTAAGACTCTGAGAATGAATAAATAAAGACATTAATTATTGGTAATACAAGGGGGGGCATGAGATGTTTGTACTTCAAATCTTAAATATCTATGCAGATTAAAAAGAAACGGACTTCTTCTTAGATGTAGATTATTTTCAGGACTGGCTTTCATATTCACAATCATATTATTTTTCCAACAATTGAAGATTTTTTTTCACTTATAATTTACATTTGTATTCACATAAACTTTCATGAACAATAGCATGAACTTTCCAAGAAGAAGAAATTTCATTGAAATTCATTGTCCAATTAACATGACCCAGTATTGGTGTCAATATTCATGACAATGAAGACCAAATATTCTCACCAACATCACTTATCAACTAAGGTGGGAAGTTATGCAAGCTCTTAACCTTTCTTTAAGCAGGCTTGTAGAGTTTAAGTACAAAATCATATACTTTGCTATGACATTTACTTCTTTTAGCTATCTAGAGAAAAAAATTATGTGCATTAAAAACAACTTGGCTTTCATAAAAGACCTTTACACAGCAAGATGTAGCAATTGTTTTTTGACACATTGGAGAAAGAAACTTGGTGCTTTCCTTCAATAATGCATTAGGTGTTTGGAAAATTCTCTCATCTACAGTTGTGTCATTGTTCCCAATGGATGAATGACATATGGTGAGCACATATTTGTATTTAGATAAATATTTTTATTATATTATTTAGATTGTATTAAATAGAATCTAATATTTTATATTATATTTTTAATTGAGAAAAATTTTGTCTTGCATTAATTCATATTTTTTGTGTTAATCTACATAGTTCATAATCTTTTAGATAAAAGATTAAAAAATATGTAAATAAACACAATTTTAAGCCCTAAATCTCTAAAATAACAAAATATGCATTATATGCATAATATTTCCTACTTTGCTTTCCATATTTTTCATATTCTTCATATTGCTACTTTGCTATTCCATTTGTTTTTTTTAAAAAATGGTGTGACTGCATTAAAAAACTTTTGTCACACAACACAATTTGAAGACCAGATAGTCTTATGCTATATATTTATAATATGAAATAGATCATTACAAATGCAACATAGATTACTAGAAAATCTTTCTTACAAAGCAGTGTAATGCTTCTGCATTTCTATGACCACCAGACCTTCCTCATCAGTGAACTTATGCTGCTTCTTAGAAACAGCAATCTCGGAATCAAAGATGCCCACATTTTTGTGAAGAAGTATTAATTGCAACCACTCACATGCTTGCTCATGAATCATAGTTCGTGTGTAACATGATCAAAAATTAACAAACATTTTTTACAGAACATTATCATATCACATTGTTGCAGGGGGGGGGGGTCCCTACTCCACCCGTCGAGACACATCACTGGCTAAACATTACTACTATACACTTGGACACCAGGTCCTCATAAACAGTGTATATACAAGGAATGTATTTAATATTTGGAATAAAATTCTTTATGAGTGGTGAAAACTAGTTTATAATTACTTCTGTAGAGATAGAACCTCTTTCAGGAGCTCTCAATCTATGATAAATATCTGATTGATGAAACACTGTGCTCGGAAAATATCTGTGTAGATTTAACGTGTTAACCTACTTTGGATGAAATGTAGTGTTGGACCCCTTCAACCCTTTACAGAGTGAAAGACAAATGTAAATCTAACATGGATACGTGAAGCAGGGAAGGTAATTGCCTGATGACTGAATAAATTGACATCAAGAGGTAAGTCAACTTTCTGTGTCAAAAATCTTGGCATATGAAGATAACACGTTATCATAATTACACAGAAAAGAGATGAAACAAATACAGATTTGTAAAAACACTCTTTGAATTTTTATTTGAGAGGGACAAAAATTTAGTGTAGAAATACTGTTTCTTACACACAATCTCAATTGATTTAGTCTTCTATTATTCCAGCAAAAAAACCCTCAATCTCAATGGTGCAAAAACAATCAGACCTTGCACATAATACACATATAAATTAAAGTAAAAGCAGTGCTGTAGTTCGGGAACAGTAGCAGCAGCCACAGTCACAGCTCCAACCATAGCACCCGCAGCGGCGGCGGCGGCAGCAGCAGCAGCAGCAAGAAATAATTTCAACATTCGGCACTCATGGCGCAGATGGAAGTCACTTGCCTTTCACCGAGGAGGTCTGGGTTTGATTCTCAGACAACAAACTTGCTTGCTTCACAGGGGCTAGTCCCACCCCTGTGAAGCTCCCTAAACCCTACGCCTGTCATAATTCCTTCCCGATTCTGGCCGCTGGGTGGTGACGCAGGAGCACGTGAAGTGTAAGAGGCACATAGGCGGAGACGCTTCCAGGCGGTCCTCTTGAAAATTAACTGTGACTGACCCCAGAGAGTGTAACACAGTGATTACTGGAGGATTACTCTCTAAGCACACAACAAGGGGCTTGGAGATGTGTTGTATCGATTACAACACAACAAATTCAAATGAAAGAAACTACATATACTATAAATATATTTTTGTGTTTACTACACTGCTCATTAATTTCACCTTTGCTAACACAGTGTTTCACACCTCTAATTTTTTATGGATAAAGGAGATGAAAATGGATCTGGAAAGGTAGATGATCTATGATTGGTGTTAAGGAGACACAATATCCAAATATGTTTCTCTTCTTTCCCCATTCCTGCTGAAGATGCACAGTCAAATTCATCTAAAACTCCAGAAGCAAAGTCAAATTTCAACTGATAACATCAATTGAAACTTTGTCACCAATCTTCATCATAATACATGAATCTGTCACGAGACATCTCAGTAAAACATACTACTTCACTTTGGTGTCCTGCACAGGCTGTCGTACGTAAGATTGAAAAATACTCTGACTGCCACATTCCTGACAAAATAGTGAGTAGTGATATTCGTAAGTTATGCACCATGTAGATCCACTATGAAGGAAAATTATTGATATGGGTAGCATGTGCTTGGATATTATATCCAAAACAATCATGTCTCCATAAAAAATTACACAGGCGTGCAAGTTGAGCATCAGCAACCTTCTAGCTTCTTTCTAGCACTGTAACGCTGCTGCTCTGATGTGTGTTACTGAATCCATAGGTACCCACAAGACCCATTATGATCTTCTGCATCTCCTAAAACTCTTCAAACTAGATTGTGTAGGTCCACATTGATTCATACTTTCATCTTTTTTTTTTCTTTCTAAACACTTGATTGATGTTTCTCTCAACAAAATCTTGGTCTGCTGTATTTGTGAATTTCAAGTCCAACTTACAGAATGTTTCAAAAGATATCAAACTGTCTTTTGATAAAGATCTCTAAAACAATGAAAAGTACACTGATGATACTGCTGAAAGAGAAAAGAAGAAAGAGTTGATATATGGACAAGAGAACACACTTAAATGCACCTGATACATTCCATTTCCTTGGGAATGTAAAGTTGTTTCAAAATTTTTGGTGTGATATCCCTTATATGTTCACTAAACGCTGTACTAAAGATATTTCTATCCATATAATCCTTCTGACATCTTTTATGTCACAGAAATAACTGACGATCCAGCGCAGTTCCTTGGCTATGAAAATCCTTCAATGTATACATCTGTCTTATCAGGAGAAAGACAAGTGAGGAGAACCAGCCAAGTGTTTCCTAAATGGATTCACAAGTTGCACCCACTCAATCACATAAGCTTTGAAGTTGTGTGAAAAATATTAACTTATTTCAATCGTTAACATCACACAGACTCTTGCATTCTATATGAACAAGGTAATATATGGGGAGTTCTTCTTTTAAATTCATTTGTCCAGGCTTGTGACCCTCTCAACCAATTCCTGAATATCAAAGTTCAATCACTTTTATTTTCCCTTGGGGAAAGTGCCACTATAGGCAAACTGGCCAAAATGCACAGGTCTTCAAAAAAATCTTCAAACTCTTGTACTCCACATTATTTTGTTCTCATTGTTCCATTTCTTTCTTTAGTAATAAACCTGTCTTAGGCCGTCACCAAAAATTTTGATGAAAATTGGTCACTAAATCATGGAATGAGCTCACGGGAAGCATACATCAGGTTGAAAAATTCAGTCGGTTTGCTGTAAAATCCTTTGAATTACATTAATTACAAATTACAGCTTAAACAAGTGACCTCGAATCACTTGCCCTCTCTCAACTAATTGGCAAATAGCCCTTTGATTTGACACTTCTTCTCTTACTTGAGAATCTCATCTTCTGTCTTCAGTGAACCAAACTCGCTCACTCACAATTTAGAGCAAGGTTATCAGAGCACGCAGTGCCTGGTTTTGTGGTCACAGTGCTTCACAAACCCTTGACAAGTTCCATAGAGGAGAAGTAGGGTTCAACAAACTTCTTAAGAATACTGCCAAATGGGCAGAATGAGCTAAGCAATCGCATTATTTCATATATTTTATTGTAAGTGTCAATCATTATCTGAAATAAAAATGATAAGCAACTCTAGTTGTCACTGTTTCAAGTAACACTGACAAAGTATCCTCTTCCATGAATATACTGAAACAACGGTGATAAACTCTTTTCCCTTTGTTCAACTATGGGTAAAATTTGTGCTACGTGACCACTTAATTCATGTCTACGAAATGTGCCCAACCTTTACCCAACGGGCCCAGGAGGCTGCTTGAAAGAGGAACATTTACAGTTGTATTAATCGGTTTGACTAAAAATTGGCCAATAATGAAACTGGCCACTTAATCGAGGTTCTATATATATTTACTGTCTATACATTTAATTTCGATTATAAAAGGCCATACAATTATTATTCACCGAATACCAGACAAGATTGCCAGTTAAATTTTTATTTCGAGTAAACACAAAATATGAATTTCAGAATATATTATTCTATATGAAAAGGTAAAGAACATTCAAATCGGAAACTAATAGTTGCAAGTATCCAACACTGATTTAGAAAATACTTGAAAATTAATGTTGGTTGTTATTTTATTTAAATCTAATTTTTATCACAAAAACCGTTTGGAAGTAAAAATGTACTTACAGATTTTTCATTTATTTCTCTATGAAATTTCAGTCACTCTTTAAATGCATATGAAAGAGAACTTTTTAGCGTCAATTTATGAAATTAATTTATATAACACTTTAGGAAATTAGAATAGAGCAAAAACTCTTAACTAAGAATAAAACAATACAAAACTAGTAAGTAGTGCTCACTTAAAACAAAAATTAATTAATTTGCCTTTCTTGCTGACAAGTACACACTAACTTTCACTTTTTATCTGACTGGTTCCATGTTGTTTCATTTTGTACACAAGTCAAAATTTTGAAAATTTAATTTACATCCTAGATCTCGAAAATAAATGTAACTGTAAACGTAAATGTTGCCATATAACTGGTACAGCAATATCACACTGCAATCTTAATACAATATTCGCACAAAATTTTAATAACCACAAATACCCCTTTCATTTTACAACAAACCAATCACGAGTAATCAACAGCTAAACAGGTACAACAACAGACTCGCTTAGTAACAAAATTGGTGTACAAATTTCCAGTAACACAGTTTACAGCAATCTGAATCAAAACAGACAAGAAAAGCTCATCAACATTCAATGCTTAGAGAATTATACCTCGTGGTTTTGAAATAAGGATACTATTTAATTCAATTTGAAAAAAAAACAAAATGGCAAAACAAAATTTACAAGTGACTGCTTCTAATTTGTGACTCCCTAGCTTAACTGTTCTTAAATTGCAAGTGTGACACGGAAACACTATGGAAGCGCTTTGAATCCAATCATCTCGACTGAAAAACTTTTGAGAACCAAAATTATACATCTCAATAAATAATAAGATATCTCTTATAGATAACATGATAAGATATCTCTATAGATTCCTTTGTATATCCTACTACCATCATAATTGAAAATGTTTTTTTCTGATTTGTTCGATCGCAAATTTTTAGCAACTCAGTAACACATGAAGTAATATTAGTACATCCCAATTGTAGATCTATACAAAACTAGATTTTCAAGAAATAACTGAATTTTATAATTAATTTAATAAGTTTCCATTCTTGAAACTGATCATAAAACTGTGGAGTGCTGTATAGTGAATATTGTAATTTACAAGTTGCTTTAAAAATTCAGTTCTTTAATATAACTCAACATAAATTCCAGTTTTACATTTATTTCATTGAGTGATATATTCTTCTATTCGCGATTCTAATTTGGTCAAAAAAAACCAAAATGTTATTAAAATTTCCATTTAAAATTTTGTAAATTAATAAACCAAACAATGTAAATAAAAATTTGCTAACTGGCAATTTTTTTTTCCAACATATAAAGTTGATTGAGATTTTCCTGATATGAATATTTAAAAAAAAAACGAGTGGTTTCTACCAACATGAATAAAAACATACAAAGCAAAAACCAACTTGCGACTTAAATTCCTTCACTCAAATGTGCATCACAATATATCCACACAAATAGTATGTAAATTGAATGTATAAAAAATTTGAAACAATGACTTGACAGAAATACCCACAATGGATTTAAAGTACTATTTCATTGCACTCACCTATTCCAATGGTCACTGGAACTACTTCTTCCTTCATGTGGATCATCCAGCATTCCAGTTTCCTGTGCTTTATCACCACCAATCCTCCTTCCCGAATGTGGAACATCATCATTACCAATTCTTCTTCCATGTGTTGCGAAATCACCTCGATACATTCTCCTTTCAGGAGTCAAATCACCACCAGATCTTGCGTGATGTGGCTTATCATTACCAGGTCTTCCTCCACGAGATGGGAATTCATTATGTCTTCCCTCGAATAATGGCACATCGCTAAAAGACTTTCCTCCAGGGTCTGGCATATCACCACCATGTCTGCCTTCAACTGGTGGCAAGTCGTCATGTTGTCCTCCATGAGGTTCTACATCACCTGTAATTCTTTCCCTGTAAGGCAGACGATCCCTGCCAATCCTATCTCTAGGTGGTAAATTTCCAATACTTTTACTACCATGAGGTACAAATTCTCCACTGCTACCCCTTCCTCTAAGAGGTAAATCCACATCCATTCTGCCACTGTTTGGAGGAAATTCTCCTCCTTTATTTCCATGAAGCAAATCACTTCCTCCACTTCTGTTTCCTCCAGAAGGCACTTCACCAACCATTCTGCCTCTATGACTAGTAATTTCACCTCCAACTTCCACTCTAATGGGAATAGCACCAGTCATCCTTCCTCCACGAGGTAAATCAATTTCTCTTCCCCGATGCAAATCACCATGGCCAATTCTGCCTTCATGAAATGGAAAATCAGCATTCCTTATTTCGTGAGGCAATACATCACTGCCCATTCTGCTTTCATGAAGTGACAAATTAACATCAGGTTGATCATGATGAGGAAACTGATAACCTGTCACATCTGGACCAAAGTCGCCGGCTCTTCTGCATCCGTGAGGTAGCAAACGATCTCCAGGTCTTCCATCGTGATGTGCAAAATCACCACCCATTCTATCTTCATGAGGAGGCAATTCACCTATCCTGTGTTCCTGGGGTGGCAAATTGCCAATTAGTCTAATGGTACGTGAGTCGTCCCTTCTACTTTCATGGGGGAACACGTTACCCCCACTCCTCCCAATAGGGCCCATTCTTTCATTTCTCAATTTGCCCATGTGTGGCGGTGTTTCATCAAACCTTCCTTCGTGCGGAGGGAAATCTCCCATTTCCGACTCAAAAGATGTTGTATCACTGGGCATTCTCCTATTGTTAGGAAGCACATCACCCATCATCCTTTCACGAGGGGACAAACTTCGAGCTGGTCTGACCCCTCGAGGAGGTACATCATCAAGTTTTGCACCAAGTCTGTCACGGACTGACAAACCAGCCGTTCTCCTTTCAGGGGTTGGGAAATCATTTCCTTTTCGGCTACGAGGTGACAATCCATGCCCCATTCTGCTATCCGTCATAGGCATATTTCCTCTTTCTTCAAAAACAATGCGTTCTCGTTCAAATTGACTATCTTGGAGTGGAAATTCACTGTCAGTAGGTGGAAATGTTCCACCCATTCGCTGATCCTGTGATGAAAAATCAGTGTCCATTCTAACTTCTCGAGAAAGCATCAAGTTGCCAATTCTTTCTTTTGTATTCAACATTTTGCTACTGAATCTAGTTTCCTCATGTGGAAATTCACTGTCCATTCTTAGCGGTGGTGGACTCAATGAACGGCCACAAGCAATTCCTCCCCGGTGAGAAAATCGCCCGCCATAGTCTGCATCCTGAGAGGGCAAATTACCGCTTGCTCGACTCTCATGTGGCAGCATACCTGCATCTCCTCTTCGTTCAGGAGGGAAGTCTCCTAATTGCATATCCCGAGGATAAGCACTACTTCTATTTCTAGCTCCTCGGCTAGAGAATTTTCCTGATCTCTCTGTCCCCATTTCAATCCAGCGTTCACGGTCCAAGTTTTCTTGCATTGGCCTGCCTCCTTGATTGGGCTGCCAATCACCAATCTCATCAGCATGGACGCTACTTCTACCAAACTCTGGTTCTTCAGTCCTAATTCGTGGAGGAGAGTGACGACCAGGATATCTTGTAGGGGTGTCAGGTCGCCTTCTCAGAGGAGAATTCGGTGGTCCTGGAGACCTCACTCTTCGTGGCTGCCACTCCTCTGCCCTGCCCTGAGGAAGGTTGCGTTCATCTAGTTCAGGTCCCCATCTGGTGCCGGGCCTCCTCCTGGGAGGGGACTCTGAATAACGCCTTTTTCTTCCGGGGAGCCATCCTTCAGCAGGCTGGCCATGAGACGGAGATCCTGACATATCTCCAGATCTGTTACATTCCGGTGGGGGCCACGCTCCGGGGCTTCTTCTCCTGGAAGGAGGCCAATCCCCACCTGTCCTCTGCCTAGATGGAGAACGCCACTCTCCGCTCTCCTTTGTCCTCGGTGGTGACTGCCACTCCCCACCGCTTCTGTCTCTAGAAGGTGGAAACCACTCATCCCCACCTCTATCCCTTGGAGGCGAACTCCGTCCACCTCTGCCATGAAAATCTGCAAATGGTTAATACAAAGTAAGATAAACACAAGAGTTAGGCCTTCTGCCAACACATGGATTCAGTTGGCATCATAGAGGGCGCTAACGTTGAGGTGGAAGACAGCATGGCCATCCATCTCTACTCCTGCTTCTTTACTTTGGTGTTGTAGGTTCACCATTATTTTGAAAGGTGAACGCTCCATACAGTAATATCCAAAACTTACCCACAAAATTGGTGGGAGATACGCAACTTCTCTTCGAGGTAGAGGCCTAAAAGATGTATAAATAGAGTTTTCACTCACAAACAAAATCCAAATGTTATTGTTCAATTGAGTGGCAAAAATTCAAAAATATAATTCTAATAATGTAACAATCTTCTAAATACGTAACATCAATCCACTTTAGTTCACTGCATCCAGACATCACATGAATTATAATCCGCTCAAGAGTAAAGTACACAAAAAATTTAAACCAACATCAAGTAATGATAATTTTATACTTAAATCTACACATTAAATTTATACTGTTTAACAATAAATTTTTATACATACAGCATATTTGATAATATGGTCTGTAATATTGTTTAAGAAAGATATTTAGTAAAGGAAGTATTAAGATATAGACATTGGTGATGAATCCAATATTATAAATCATATCATCAAGATATATCTTACTTTATTTTCAAATCAAAAAGAATTCCATACTCATTCCATATTAAACTTTTGGTTGAAAAGCAGGAAGATCATGACGCTATGTTTACTCCGGCTTTAGGTAAGAAAAAGAAATAAGAATAAATGCAGATCACTAAATGGTCCCTAAACTTACGAACTTGTTTACATAATACACACATTTGAAATTGAGTTATTTCAGACAAGTTTTCTGATTTCCTTGAAATAATTAAATAATGATTCAAAAATTTGTTTTAGCAAATAATAATTTTCTTCTTATAATTCATCTGCAATTGTTGACATCATACTGAATGTCTATGGTTTTATTTAATCCATAAAAAAACACGGCAGTATCACATAAGAGCACGTACATGCGCACGCGCACACACACACACACACACACACACACACACACACGCACACACGTGCACGCACACACACGCACACACACACACACACACAAATGCATTTGAAGTAACATCATTTTACATCTATAATACAATAATAAAATGAAAATGTGTCTATTCAAAATAACAGCATTTTTATAAGCTCATAATTATTTACACAATATTAAAACCTACACAATTGTTTTCACAATTTTGTCCGATTGTCTATTGGCCAAGGCTAAACTTAGGAACTGCAAATGCAATTTTTGGAGATTTTCACTTCATGGTAGAGCATTTTCACATGTATAATTTTGCCTACTGTATTTAAGCTCATAGTGAGTTAGCAATTCAAAAGTTTGGTTACATCCCCCTCCCTTTTATATAATAATAATAATAATAATAATAATAATAATAATAATAATAATAATAATAATAATAATATAATTAATAATAAAAATAATAATTAGTATTATAATATGGGATATTACTTATTTTGTTATTATTATTGTGCCAATGAACCCACAATGCACTGGTCAGTCAGGTTAAGTGGGGTGGGGCAGGCAGGACTGGGCACAGCTAGACAGGTTAGGTAGAAGGATTTGTCTGATGGTTTGAAAGGTGGGGCAAGAGGGAGAGAAGGGAGGGAGGGAGGGATGGGGAGAGGAGGAGCAGGGAAGAAGTGGGGCTGGGGCTTGGCAGAATGAAGTGAAGCCTGGCAAGGCAGATATGGAAATAAAATTATTTTTATTTTACACTGTGGATAGAATTCTTTGCTTTACTAACAGTCAGCTGATAAATTTTTGGACTTTGTCAGGTACTTCCTCTACTTCATCTATACATTTCTTATATAAAAATAAAAGTATGAAAATGATACAGGAGGTAATATGTCACATATCTCAAGTTTGATCAAGTTTGTACAATTTTGTGCCACGCATAAATTGTTGTTGAGCGTAGTAACAACTGGTTGTTGGCAGTAGGGAGTTTTCAACACATTATTTTTACATAAAAATTTCCACCTTACATAAAAATTTAAACAAATGTTCCCAACCAGTAAATATTCCTCTTAGACAAGATCGCACAACTTCATAATGAAACATTCTACAAATCTATTTTTATAAACCAAAGCCATTCAAAGAACTTCAAACACTTCATTCAATATGTACCTGCTTACCTGCATCCCTAGGGTCAGTCATTCCTTTCGGCATCCAGTCACCTTCTGTTATATTCTTCCTTTCCTTGAACGTTTGTGAAGGGATCCAAAACTTTTTGTTCTTATAACCAAGTCTCCATGCCTCGCGATTGTAGAACTTGACTAGTGGCAGAGCTTTATTCAGTGGAAGCCCAACATACTCCACTGCATTAGCTACATCGGAAATTTGGCGACAAGACATTATTGGTAACCTGTACTTTGCTGCAATTTAAAGATACAAAAGTTCTTGTTAATCCAAGAGGTATGAAAGAGGTATGATGCACAAAAGGTATGAAAGTGCAAAAAATCTACAAGGGTCTTTCTGAAGATTGAAGCATACAAAAGAATTCTGACAATTAGCTGGCAATTTTCTAAAACTTTCCTACCAAAAATATTGTTACAATTATCGCTGCAAGAATGGTTTCTGAGGTAAATAACAAGCAGGCACAAAACTAAGACAAAAATAATTATATGACACTTCTAAGGGTGTTTTACTGCGATCAGTTGCAATTCTGTAGTGATTCAATTTAGGGACTATACACAAAAAATGTTGTAGGTAAAACTGCTCTATTAAGTCAGATCACCACCTCAGAAAAGATATTTCAAGAGGAGGGGACTTTTTTAGTAGCTATGAAAAATTCAGAATTCCCTTAACTTTTCTCACATTAGAAACTATAAGAAAAGACTAGTTCATCCTTCAGATTAGTTTGCATGGTTAAAATGTAAATAGAAAAACTAGAAGAAATATACTTTTCAGATTGATTATATTATCCTAAAACTAGTGTTAGCAATCCCCAGACTTATATTTTTTGATAGAGAATGAGAAAAATTCTCTCCTATATATTATCTTATTTATTAATAACAACATATGTAATGAAGGAGAAGTTTGGTTATTTTGTTTTACTAGTTCAGAATTCTCAAAAATATTAGGCTATGTTTTAAAAATTTCTCTTCAATGTCAAACAAAAATATAATTACATCATTAAAGATAGAATAGAAATGAAGACATTTCAGTTTTTTTTACAAACTCTGCTCAGTTGCTTCCTGCTTCCTTTATTCCAGGAGTGGGAAGCTTTAACAAATAGATAGGAAGATAAAACAAAACACTAATTTTATAAACCAGCATGCAAGATTATTTGAACAATTGACTATTTCCACATACCTAACATTTTCAGAAACCTGCTGTAAAATTCTACAAGCTTTCACCCTTCAATGCCGACTTCAAACACGTATGAACCGTATTTACCAGAATATAAGACCAGCTTTTTTTTTCCTCCTAAATATCTCAGTCGAAAACGCGGGGTTGTCTTATATTCGCAGATTAAACTTGGTCGGTTATGCATTTACGTGTCTTTCCATGTCTCGAAACTCGTAATTGAAGACGTAACAATAAGCTGCTACGACGGTAAAAATATCGCGCGTATCTACAATACAATCGCGATCGTATTCTCGGCATCCACCACAAACTTGTCGGGCGATTCAGACCTTTTATTTTTTTATTTTTTTATGAGCCGGTAAAGAGGATCTCAATCAAACGGCATTGAATCAAGTGAAACGTAACGCGAAAATAAATGCCGAGATTTAGTTAAATGATGCGAGTTCGACGAGGCCGCGCGGAATCTCGGTTCGACGCACGGCAAGTGCGAATCTGCGTTTTGCAAGAGATCGAAATGAAAAAAATCACATCGATAGATGTACGCATTCCAAATCCAATCATCGAAAAGAATGATAATAAAATGTTTTCCTAGCAAAAACTTCCCAAATAGGAAACTTGCCGTTGTCTCCCACATCCGCGAAACGGAAGGATTAAAAAGCAAGAGTTCGAAGCTCACAACTCGATCACACGGACAGTAAACGATGGTAATTTCAGATTACTTTGTTAAAGAGAGGCCATCAAAAGTGCGGGAGTGATAGAAAATCTGGTAACATGGAAGGAAATGTTCTTCGGTGGTATCAGATTGAAGATTAAGAACAACGCATGTTAAATGCGCAAATTTTGAGGAGGGCCAAAAAGAAACATTGACACACGTGAAAATGTTGAGATAGTGACAAAAACCAATATTATGATGATTTTAAGGTACAGAAAAATGGTAGTTCAGGCAGTAAGCCTTAAACATTCTAAGCAACAAGGCAATTTTCTAGTAAATTCGACAATATTCAATTTCATTTTGACAAAATAAGTCAGAATCAGTCAAATTTATAAAATGTTCTGAAGATCTCTTCAAAATTAGGGGGTTATCTTGTCATTTAGATAAATATGGTATCAACAATTATTTTACATGTTTCACAATGACACACACTATCCTCTTGTCTTAATTTTCTGTAAAATGTAAGGCTTGAAAGCCTGTTATCACTTCCTATATCACTTCCCACATTTCAATGTTTTTCCAAACACATTAAATTGCTATTTAGCTCTCTCCTCTCCAATAACAGCAAATAAAATTAGCATAAATCAATCTTGCTATTTAAATGATAAATCTGGAAACCAGAAAATCTTCAAATCACAAAAACAAGTTTAATTACCTTTCAAAGAATACATCCAATCCAAGTCATTGTCATCAAACTTTTTACAGCGTTTCTTCAGTTCCTCATCGGGTATAACAATTGCTACTATTCGCCGTTTATGATTTCTGAAATAACCTAGCTTCCATACTTGCTCTTCCCATCCAACATTAGCCTGGAACACACGTAGATTTTATTACTAAATTTAAATTGCTTACTTGGCCACCACAGATCGTTTAGGTGGGAGCATCCTAACTTCCTCAGCACATGGATGCGTATGCTTGTCTGTTGTGATTCAGTGGCGCTCTCTTCCTCCCATTCCTCTCTCACCCTCGGAAAAATAAAAAGACCTACAGGTTACATCACAAAGGAAAACTGAGAAATTCCTCTCCTCTACCTAAAAAAAGAGTCAAAATTTTGAGATGGACCCAAATAAGAGTAATGTGATTGTCCAACAAAGGCCTAAAAGTGACCTCACAACAGGTGGTTGGATTACATGGCCATCCAGTGTAGAATGAAACGTACTTCAGAGGGTGCGGCCCAGCAGAGAGCACCAGTTGACTTCCCAGTTTAGTGTTAAAAGTGGGTCTCATCCCATCAAAATAGTAAAATGGAATGAGAGTTCCCCTACCCCAATCTTGAACAATGATAATGACAAGGATGATGGTACTAACAACGATAATAATCACAATGATGGTAATGACTATGATGATGTTAAAAATAATACAGAAAACCTTTATTAGCACAAACTCGTTTAACATAAATTTCCACATAACACATGTTATCTGATATTTGAAGAAAAAATTGTTTATATTTGAAGCGAATGTTGCTGTACCAAGCAATCAGAACATCGTAAACAAGGAGACACAAAACATTTTAAATACAAGAGTTTTGAAGTCCGGATCAGCTGGGTATACAGTCAAGACGGTACCAATGTGACCAAAGCTCTGGAGTTTGTTCGCAAAATCTATGAAAGAACTTGTCCAAACTACCAGATCAAACAAAAGTTGGAGGAAGTTCAAGATATCGCCTTATGGGGATCTGTCCATATTTTGGACACAGTATTAAAGAGACCTCCATAGTCACTAGATCTTAGGATGCTGGTTACAACCTGGGGCAGATTTTATTTTTAATCCATATCTAATATTGTTAGTTGTGAATTTAGGCATAGTTGATGTTGCTTATGACAAATACAAAATTCAAATACATCAGAGGGAAAGAAACCTTCATCTAAAAATTGAACATCAAATGTTCATGCATATTTACTGAAAAGCTCAGTTCTTTTTTTTCTTTACATAAATTAATTAAACTCTCAGCTTAAGTATCTTCACAAACCTTATTTATGATTTAACTTTTTTATTTTCAATAAAAATTCAAATAACAATAAGAGAAAAATTCAAAGAAGCACTCAATAAATCACTGCACTTACTTGATCTAAAATGTAGTTACGACGTCTATCCATAGCAATGCCAAGCAACTTTCCCAGCAATTTAGTTCTTGAAAGAATAATAGCTTTACGCTCAGGATCCATTAGCTGCAAATTAAAAGAATAACCAGTGTTCTAGGAAATAAACCACCAGCCAATCTTCACTAAAAAGTATGTAACCGAAAATTGTTAACTATACATTTAAATTATTTAAACTGTAATCAAAGCCATGCTGTCAAACTATTGCTGTTATGCTAATCAAAACATTAAAAGCACATATCACATGAAAACAATTTCACCCGACATCTTGAAACACTACTAGGTGTGGCACGACGTGCAGAGTGGTGTGAGCAATGTGTGGGGTGTGCTGTGAGGGGTTTGGGATAAAATATATGAGGTGTGGTGTGCAGGGTGTTGGGTACAGGGTACGGAGTGCAGGGTTTAGGTTGCAGTGCGTAGTGTCTGATGTGCGGAATTAAGAGTGTGGTGTGGAGGGTGCGGTGTGTGAGCACTGTCGGCTGTGTGCATTGCATGAGCAGTGTGTGCGGTGTATGGGCAGGGTGTGCACTGTATGGGCAGGGTGTGGACGGTGTATGGGCAGTGTGCACAATGTATGGGCAGGGTGCGCGGTGTTTGGGCAGAGTGCGCATTGTATGGGCAGTGTGCACAATGTATGGGCAGGGTGCGCGGTGTTTAGGCAGGGTGCGCGGTGTTTGGGCAGAGTGCGCATTGTATGGGCAGTGTGCGCGGTTTGGGCAGTGTGATGTGATTGTGTGTGTAGTGTGGTGTGGATGGGTTCAGCCGGAATTTAAACACAATAACTTGGGAACAAGAGGCTAGGATGCTGCCAGATGAGCCTCCATGACAGAACACTGAAACTAAAAAATTATGAATTATTGTCACTCACTTCCATTCTGTCCACCAGTGTGTGTGGGTCAATTACATAGTACATTCCTGGGTGTTTCTCACGAAATTCATTAACCCAAGTAGTCTTCCCAGATTTTGGCAATCCAACCATCAAGATTACCTATTAAAGATAGACTTAATTGAGCAAACACTGTAGTAAAAATGTATACAAAAAAAAAAAAAAAAAAAAACAGAAAGAAAGAAAACACAAATTAGGACTCACTTCACACTCAGACTGTGACTTAGGACGCCTAGGACCTGCAATTCGGTATACTTTATTAACATGAGCCACAAAAGTGTATCCTTCTTTCAGAGGAAACCAAGGTTTTTCACTGCCAAAGTTACATTCGTAAGATATGTTCTTTGTCAGAATATGGGGAAATAGAGGTTCCTTTTGAATTTCTGATTGTGGTATTTGATAAGCCACCCCCATATCTTCACCATTCAGTGTAAAAGAAAGGGTGACTACATCCTCGGCAGCATCCTGAAAACAGAATTGTATTTCATTCATTTAACAGGCTGTAAAATTTTCAAAATAATATATCAATACATTATTCCAAAAAGAATTTTTCCTCATGAGCAAACCTGTAGACAAATCCATACTATTTATTCTATTTATATAGTTTCACATCATTTTATTCAAGATTAAAAAAAAAAATTACACCAAGATAAGCAAAAACAAAGATAAAGAGACATTGAATGTACGGAAGTCTTAAACGATCATTCTCAAAACTCTTATACAACTACCTCCTCTGAAAATCTCTGACCTTCTTCAAACTAACTTGGCTAGAATTTTTGCCATCAATAATACCAAGTTCAAGAGGCAAACCCAATTAAAAATTTATGTGGAACTAAATTTGTAGCCTACTGACATAACTGTTTACAATATAAATAAGTGCACCAATTTAGCTAATAAGTACATTGACACCAAAGTCTGAGACAAAATTGTTGATCAACCAATTAGGGAAGAGAGTTTTGGGTTACACAGTTAAATCCAGGTACATAAAACAGACAAGTTGGATGGAAGAACAGCTTAATCTGAGTTCAGCCATTTATCCCTTTCTTAATAAGTAATCTCTAATAAACTTTAAATAAATAATTCACACAAAGAAATAATAAAAGTTAAAACAAATTACACTAGAACACGGGAGTATGCAGAGATTAGATTCATTAGATTGATTTTCATTAATTTTTCATTGCATAAAGAAATTAATTTTCATTGGGACAATTTTTATTATTCTTAGCCTTTATAGTAACTCAAGAATTAAAAGTTTTATTTCACTTGTATTGCTTATGTTATAGTGATAGTTACTGCATCGGACTAAATAATAACAAGTGAAGAGGAAGAAACTAATCCTGAAAGCTCATTTTTAATTCAATTCAATTTAGTACCCTTTCCCATGTAAATAACACATTAGGAAAAACTTATTACATTGTTATATTTTACATAAAGAATACACTTTCTTTAAATCTAAATGTTGATCTAAATCTAGATATTTTCAATAAAATTACTCTAATAAATGTACTGCATGCCAGATTATCTGTCAGTAAAGGAAATATGGAAAATACAAGTGACACTGTGACTTAAATATGAAAACTTTAAAAATAATAATGAAAGCAGAATATATGTAGGAAAAAACACCACCAAAAACAATAATAATAATAATAATAATAATAATAATAATAATAATAATAATAATAATAATAATAATAAATAAAAATGTTAAATAAATAAACAAATAACAATCATTAACAAGAGAAACATTCCAATGGATTTCTTCCTTCTTACAGTCAGTAGTTTCAGTGAAAATACAGCTCCAATCTTTTGTAGAGAAAATACAATTTTACAGACATAGTAGTTCTCAAGAGCAGAACATACTCGGCAACATGGATGGGCGAGTCCCTTTCCATAAGCAAGAACTCCTCATGTTTTCACATCATGCCCTCTAACGTACCATATAAGCACCAACTACATGTCCTGTAGAAAACATCTTTCCATAGTCAACTATTTCTCCAATAGTTGACACTCTTCCAGCATTATCATAACCATACGATTTGTGATCTGATCCTGTAAGACAAAAGAAGAATGAACAACTTTGCAGCTTGGAAATTTTTTTAGAAACATAGAAATATTATCTTTTGGAATCATACCAAGGGCTAAAGATGATTTCCGAGGAGACCATCCCACACGAAGTAAATGGGTGTTCAGATGTCCTTGTCTACTACTCACCTTACCACACTGCAGGACCTGGTGAAATGGAATACATTACAATGATTACATCTTATTTACAAGTGTTAAATGAGCTGTCAAATGTGTTTCTCAATATAATAATTAAATGGAGAAATCACACACCTTCACTTCAAAGCACACCTTCCCTGAAAAAAAGCCAAATGTTGCTCTAGCTCCAGCCTGAAGGTATGAGAATCCTCTTCGATGTAGAGGTGAAGCTGCTGTGAAATTTTCATCAATGACCAAATTTAGGTCGGAATCATCTGTAACATATTCAATATCTTGCAGTCCCATTTCTAACAGCAATCATGAACAATGTAGTATGCAAGCTATTGCCAAATTGGCTGGTAATAGCAATACAGTATAATATATTTCAATTTAAAACCAATATAGTATTTATTTAATATATTTATCATAAAAATCTGTCAATGAGGTAAAGGAGATGAACAATCCATACACTATTTGCCAGCTTCAGTATCTCTATCTGACTTCTTTATTACGCAGAATTAAATTATAAATACAGGAACCAATGAGTGGGCCAAATTTTGATTTAGGTAAAACCTGATTATGATTGGAACATTGCTCCGAAGTTCAATACTGATTAAAAATACACGTTGCAAGTATATTTAGTCTTTTATTGTTCATTACAAATGGTAACTTCAAAATTAATATTTATTTATTTAACACTTTTGATCCTCAGGGTTTCGCCATGTGGTTAATTCCTATGTCCTGGACAATATATCAGTTATTCAAAACATTGATAAACAGAAACTATCGTATACATCAGTGGAAAATTGATAAGATCTTATAGTATTGTCTTTTCACTTTAAGCCTATATGTACCCTATGTTCATTTGATTATAAGATAGTAGTGAGAATGAAATTCAAAGAAACGCATGTTGTAAATTTTAAATTTTTCGGGAAAGTAAGAAGTTTACAAAATATGAAGGGAAATGCAGCGAACTTCATGTATCAACAATAATGATGCACTATAATTATATTTTGTTTAAGTTCAAATATAGTTGTATTTGCATATCTATTTATTGCTGCCTTTATTTTTCGAAATATGATGAGGTAAAAATTATCAAAAATAGTCTATTCAGTTGAGTCTTCATTTACTGAACATTTTATTTCAGCGTTTTTTTCAAACACCGGTAATTCAGAGTGTTTACCAATTTCAAAGCACTCTAAAGGAAATGAAAACTCTGGAATTTGAAAAGATTTACCAAAAGAATTATTTGGATCATTATTATTCTCCTTTATAAAATTTTCATTGCTCAATCTAGACAACAGTCTAGAAAGAAAATTGATGTCCTCATCAGAACAATCCATTACGATCCTTTATTCAAAAAGTCTTGAACTTCTAATGTTGAGAGTCGCTGTGAATTTTACATGTATGTCTTCTAAAATCTGTATATGTCGCTAACAGCATGAACACTACTTACAAAGAAAGACGTAATCGACAGAGCTCGCAAGCATGAATATCAAATCACTTCTTGGAAAAATTCCAAATACTTTCACAAAATAGAAGCACATTGTTGTTTCTCTTGCAACCACCTTAATTATATTAAAAAGCATATTCTAGGTGCCCATGAATGTCCAAAAGAAGTTTATTGTCTGACAAAGACAATATTATCAATATGAAAAAGAACATAAATAAGATAATTCATATGTCAATAAGATGCTCCTTGCATTTGACAAAAATTTACTAATGTTTTCTTCCCTTAAGTCAATATTTAGTATATTAGCTGTTTAGCCAAAAAAGGATAATATGAGGATTGGCTGTGCAACAGTGCCTATAAAATTTAATAATGAAAATGCTGTTTCTAGAATTGAAGTTTGAAGTTCTGAAGAATTGAAGTTCGATTAGACAAAAATGGGCAATCAATATAGTCATTAATCAATTTGCACACAAAAAAAAAATAATAATAATAATAATTGGTCAAGGACACTGAAATAAAAGTGTTGGTATATTCAATCTCAATACAATGATTTTATAATCATGATGAACATAGGGATTGCTCAAACCCAGACATCAGGTAGCAATTCTAAAAAACGTATGTTGCACGGTTTCAATTTGTGATACACCAAAGAAGGGTAGCCAAACAACAGATGAGAAAATCAGAACTCTGTTAACCAGTATCAGCAGTCTCAAAATTACAATTGAGAGTAGTTCATCACAAATAAGGGTAATAAACCCAAAAATTTGATTTGATAATGGTGCATTGTACATGACCTGAAAAAGTCATTTCAGAACCATGTATCACACCAGGGTCTCTTACGGTTGTAGCCCTTTCGAGCACCATGGAATTCAGAGCTAATGATTGGAATCTAGTAAAAGTGATTGCTTTGCATTTTTTAGTGTTAAGATAAAGATCATTATGAGCGCACAAGTCTGACAAGGCATTTGGGGTGGAATATTACCTTCCTTTAGAAAGAGTCAGTGTAGTCTCTAATTGTATATTATTAGAGAAATATCACATAGCAAAAACTTTGCAAAAGACAGATTCAAATAAAAAATGTTCACCTTTGCAACACCAACTATTATTCTATTCATGTGAGAACTGTGTGATTAATGTGAAAATTACAAAATTTTAAGTACAAAATTCTTCTATGTTAAAATTATGAACGTTCATAAAACCAATAAAAGTCTCTGTGCGATAACTGTATCACCCCCCCCCCCTCCATTCCTGTTAAAATTAATTCATATTTCTTAAATTACACATCCCTCTCACAGAATAAGCAACAATGTATGTAGTTCTCGGGTAAGTTGCATCCATCCATTACTCGGTGTCTAATCTCTTCCAATCGATTTGGGACAAGTGGAGTGTCATTCATAGAATCTTTGTCTTCTCGTGAGGAACTGGTCCTTTTTTTCGGAACCTTCCAGAACATTCTGAAAATATGTGTGTGCATGTCTGTTCTTGTGTGCATATGCACATGCATGAGCACTGTTTGTGTGTGTACGTTTGCATACGTGTCAGTGCATGTGTTTTCTTCATGTAAGTACAATTGATGCACAATACACCTAATTTTGTAATGAAACATTTAACATTTTTAAAAGGTATTTCTATCAATATTTTTTCCTGTAAGTTTCTATATCAGAGGAAGGCTAAGTCTGGTATCTGTATTTTGTTTAAAATTTATTTATATCATGAACTTGCATGGCCCACATACGAATGTTTAACATGAAAATAACCATCCATACTAAGCTACCAAGAGAGTGTGTAATCCATACTTACACCAACTGAGCAATACTTCTTCCTCATCATACTCCGGTTCTGGAATCGATTCAAGTGGAAGCCTGCATACAACAATTATTCATTATTATTTTTTATTGTGACTATTCAGCCCATAAATAAGATTTACAAATATTTCTTTAATGATTTCTCTAATATGATTATAATCAGAGTGAGTTAATTATTTTTTAATTAGTTTAAAGAGCATATTACATTATGTTTTCTTGGCATTTATGGATTATTATTACAAGTTCAAATGAGAGTAAAAGTTGTTTTCCTTTAACTTAGATAGTCATTGTGGTTAGAAAATGTCATTTTAAGTACAAAGTTGTGTCAAAATAACAAATAGATGCAACGTTTTTCAATGGAACTTTATTCATTATATAGTCAAATAAAAAAATATTTCTAAATTAAGGGCAGTTACGTGTTTATTAAGATTTAGAATGAGATAATTCAACATGCAATTTTATAGAATTATGCAGTCAATTTTGTAAAGTTTTTACATCTTAAAAATCATTAATGGATTTAAACCATTTAGTCACCCACAAACAGAATGAATTAAAATAATAGCTACCAGCATTTTTGGAAAGATTTGATAAGACAATATTTCCTCCCATAAAATAAAAATTAATTGTAATGGCAAATCAGCTACATAATTTGGTCCTTATCCCTTATTGTGCCTCATTTTAAAAGTTAATAATAATTTTGAAGTATGACATTTAGGGAGAAGATACAGAAATGTATTCATGAATTAATAAATTTCGTCACTTTAATGGGAGTTTACTGGTTTCCTAAAAAAGAAAAAAACATTCTTTGGTAACTGTTTTGTGGAATTCCTTTGAAATGATGACCATTTCCATTAGTTTGATAATATTTATGCAAACCTTTTATGATTTTATGAAGGACAGAAACCATCTTTTAGGTTATCTTTTACATACTTAACAGTATTATAACTTAAATAGGGGTTCAAATAGTTTAATTCACATCACATAATCTAAATGTTGCCACTTCAATAAAGTATTTTGTGTGATCTTACTTGTTATTTTCAAATTCAAAATCTTCCTGTGAGGAAAAATCATTCCATTCTTCATCATATCTCTCATTAACTACCTAAAACAAAGTTATTTTTTCAAACAATAGTATAATGATGGAGTTCGTTTTCTGGTACATTTTGTCATATTTATTACAAACCGTTTTTGTAGGAATATCTTTCCTACTTAAAAATTTCTTCTTCCCCCTGAAATTACTAGGGTCCATTACTGCACAATTAAATAGCTCTTTTTGAATTCAGTACAATTTCGACAATCACTTATTAACCATGAATGTTGTGTACTTCTGAGAGAACTTCAAACATAATGAGAAAATTATATACATTAAAAACTAGCGTCAGGAAATAAACTATACTGTACTTAAATTAACAAAAGGTAAATGAAAATTCACGCCAGTGTATACCTCCCACAATAAAATATAGCACACACAATAAATTCAATCAAAGCACTGTTTCACTCATTCCATCAACCACAACACGCAAGTCAAATAACAACCATTATTATCAATATTAAACAAAAATCATCGATAATCATCTGATTATCAACACTTCACGTCCGTCTACTAGGAGCCATCGACTAGAAGCGATCGTGTATATTATACTTCGGTTTTAATAATGTGACGCGTCAGGTACTTTGAGGGCGCGACACGCCACGTTCTAAAAAACGAAGTTTAGCTCAGTGTAGCTTATACTTCGATTTAAACGATTTAAATGTCCGTCTATAGCGTCTTTAATTATGCAAAAATCTTTGTGAATTTTCATCCTCAAGCTTATTTGCAAGCTTACAAGCTTATTAACTCTAGAGCATTTCGACATCAATGTATTGAATTTATGTCAACGACTTGATTACAAGACTGTGAGGGATGAAGATTGAAAATAAATGTTAACAATTCTTGTTTATCGCAACAATTGGTATTTCTCCCCAAATTTCAAACAAAACAGCTATATGATGATCACATATATTTTCAAAATCAAAATGTCAATCGTATTTATATACAAATTTAATTGTCATGATAATAAAATGAATCTTTTATGCTCTTATTTTACGTGTAAAAAATCTAGGATCACTTCTTTTCCTATCCTATTGTATATTTTATTCTTCCACTTCTATTTATTGAAATATCATAGCAATGTGGAAGGCTACCTAAGTATATAATTCGTAAGTAACACTTTTGATGTGAAATGTTTTAATAATAATCTAAAATTTTCAAAATTTAACATGGTGCTAAGCATGAGGATTCTAAATGAAAATGAGAATTTGAATGAGAAGTAGAATCTGAATTTTCAACTAAGTGCATTTTTTGTATGGTTATCGTGACTCAGAAAATGATAAAGTTTCTTTAAAATTAAGACAATTTAGAACTTTTCTGCTTAGTTTATTTTTCAATATTTCAATGTTAAGGCAAAATTTTTAAAAAAATTAAAAATAATGTTTTCAAAATATAGATATTGATGTATTATCACATGGAGAATATGTTAGAAGTAATAAAGTGAAATAGAGAAATGGATTCCTTTGAAGTTAAAATATAAAAGCTCTTTTAAACTTGGGAACGATAATTTTTGCAAATGAAGGAACATGTGCCATTAATAGTGTACTCAAGTGGAGGGCACTAAATTCAAATTGGAACGACAAAAATATCTAACTGAGAAAGGTCTTCATTTTGTGGAAGATCTTTAGATAATTTATGCCTCCCCTCGTGAGTTTTATACAACTAAACCTCATATGCAAAAACCAAATGAATTATAAGATAACTTCACAATCTCACTGACACATATTTACATGTTCTGATTGAATTGTCATGTATGATCTGGTCAGAGAGTATATCTGGTTAAAGTTGTACCTCCACAGTCATATGACCATGAATAAATTAATTAATATTTAGTCATTCCATGAAATATTCATCAAGCAATATTCATTATATGGTTGGTCTGATCAAGTTGTCTCAATCACTGGGTACCTTAGCAAAGGGTTTTCTCTTTAATTTTCACTTAGTTTCACTATAGTCCTGGTCATTGTGATGAAAGTGTTCCATAAAAACAAGACTGGTGATTTTTCCCTATCAAGAGGGCCTATTTCAAAGTTTAGCTTCTGAAGAATTCTCATAACATAATATCTCAAATTTGCATTTTTTGGACTATAATTATTTTGTTTTTAGTTGAATAGAATTTTATTGTAGTTGTTAATAGAATTTTTTTGATGCTCCCAGTCAAGCCAAAACTGACCCTACATCTTTTAGTTGTGTGTTTTTTTTTTTTTTTTTTAATGCTTTTCCTACTCTCTTATAAAAACTTGCTACTGTGTATTACCATGACCGAAATATAACCAAAGCAGCTACTCACTCAACAGTTTGTGAGAATCTGAAACTTACCGGTATCATCGGAAAAATTTCTTTCAAAATAAAATATTTAAAAAAATATTTTTAGATGCGTCTTTGAATGGAAGCAGTAGCACTTATAATAATATCCTGATCTTAAGGAATAGAAAAATCTTATATTTTAGAGGTACTCTAAAAATGGCAGAAAACTTTTGTTTACACAATGAGTGTCTTCTCAAAACATAAACCTAACATAACAATTTTCACAAAATTATGAAGATCTTATAACTACCTCATTTGGTTGTGGTTCTAACAACACATGTCATGAAAAATAAGTTTTAGTCTCTCTGATGAAATGGTTTTAGTTGGACGTCTTTACAAATGAGATATTAATTATTCACAAGCTTATTAATTTATTTTTGAGAAATTACACAAATTAGCATGCAAATTTGCATTAAAGTATCCATTTAGCAAACTTAAAACATTTAAAATTTCCCTTTTCATGCGAAGGATCATATTAAATTATTGTTTATTTTTATTCATGCTCTTTTCGTTTATATTTTTTTCTCCTTCAGGCCTGAGGCACCTCATAGTTTTACTAACAAGATGCTAATGTAGCAACATCATAGTTTTGTATCTTTTTATCAACCTATTTCCATTTTTATTTCTAAAAATATAAGGTCAAAATGCTCTTACAATTTTGTGCTTCACAAAAATGGGTTTTTTCCTCCCAACAAACAGCTATTTATCTAAGAGCTACTTCAATCAGAAAATAATTGTATAAACTAACATATCTTTCCAATTCCTGGACATTATCTAATCTAATATATAATTGAATGTCAAATGACTATTTCTGGACAAAACGTCCATGTGAAATATTTCAACGAGAACAGATTCTTGTACAGAAATCTTGAGGATTCCCTAATACTTGTCTTGGAGTAGTTTATTATTATTTTTTTTTTTTTAACAATTCCCTAAGAATAAATTTCCCAAATTTCTTTCCAAAAATATATCTCTTAAAAAATAGGGACATATCTTTGGTGCAACTTGCATATTTAAGTCAATAAATCAATTTTGACAAGAAATCGTTTAATTATATTGAAATGTTTCAAAAGACTTAAAAAGACATTCCCAGCTGAAAAAAATATTTGTTTTATGATGTGTTATAAAGAACCAACAATAATACTTATATTTTCTCATTAAAAAATTTTGTTGAAATTAAATGAATCCCTGATCACTCAGGGATTGTAATAATCATTACACTAAATACTAAAAAAGTATATCACATATTCACCTCAATTGCTATTTAATACAAGAAGAATCCTCTAGCTACAAGAAAAGAGTTGATTATGAGGACATACAATGTAGAAAGGATGTCAGTATTCAAACATAAAAAATGAGAGCATACAATTTATTAAGCGTGCAAGGAAGAGGGGTTTCACACAGGAATTGTGAAACCCTATCAGTACAAACATACTCAGATCAGAATATATATTTATATATTATCAATATTCCTGACATGTAGATGGGTGTTCAAGTCTATTACAATTATGAAATGTGTAACTATTTCAAACATACACATACTTGAACATTAAAAGATAGTAAGAGTGTATAATGCTATTTTTACACAACAAAATTGAATACTAGTTAACACTACTTGGGATCTCAAATAGTTTATCACATTGATTTCAGTCAAAATATACAAAATCAAACATGAGAGGTCCTTTGTTCTATTGAGATCAATATCAATATCACCAGTCACATCACAGACCTTGTTATCAGTAAGGCTTGCCGGTGCACCAGATGAATCTAAGTGATGTGAGCATCTTGCACATCCGTTATGTCTGTAGTGCACGCAAATTCACACCCTCGTTCCTACTACACAGTGATCAATGATCATGTAAATATACTGCTGGTATGAAGGAAGAAGGTCCACATGTGGTACATGCTCTTCCGGGTTTAAAACACCACGCTGTTGATGCATTTCAGAATCCACCGAACTGATGTTAGTAAAGGAATGTGGGTTGTTAACCTGACGATTGATCACTACATCAGTAGACGGTTGCACTTCCTTTGCATTCTCCACAGCAGCACGCTCATCGGAAATCCACCTCTGGACCATACTGATGACAGGTTTAGGAAAGATGTGCGACGTCGTAGCAACTGATCCTGACTGCGGAGGGGAGGGTGGACAAGCCGTTTCAGGGATAACAGTGTCTGTGACAGACTGGCCCCCGTGTTATTTGGATTGTTTACAGCCAATGATTTCTTGTCAGCTGAAATGTATTCCTCCTGGCCCAATAAGCAACTCCCGTCCATGAAAGTCCCAAAACGCCGTCATGTGAAATGCCATGTTCGTTAATACAACAATGTATTCACATAGGGCAAATACAGAATATACATAAGGCTCACAATATGAATTGTGCCTGTAGAAAAAGTAGGCAGCCAATGCAAAAGATGTAACATTGATTGCTAATAATTTAAATTTAATCCTGAGAGAGCGTGCTTCCACATTATCTGCAAAACTACGCCTTTTTGTTTTTAAGAGATAACAAGTCAACATCATATACAATTCAGATGTTATCATGAATGTCACAAAACACTTTTCATGAACAGCATAATTTTCAGCAGAAGAAATAAAAGTGAGACCAATTAGAGCCAAGTTTTCAATCACATTTAAGCAGCATGCAATTCTGGCTACGAAATATATACCAGGATACAGAACATCTTGGTAATACCTATAATACATTCTAGCCACAAGAAATCGAGGACCTGCATGTATAGCAATAGCTGTTCTCCACACATAGCGTTGTGGTAAATATACACCAATTGCTGCAGAAATGGATGGCAAAAAATTTGCCACTTCACAATGTGTGAATGTGGATCTCTCAAAATGAAACAAAATAGACCATATAATACAAAATATGAAACTTAACAACGGTAATGATACTGTAAACCAAGCAAATTTTCCAAATGGTATCCTTAATGTGAATCCTTTGGCTTTTTGATGCAATGGCAAGTAGTAATCACCGATCATCACAGCAGTAGACATTCCGAAGTTGTTTTGTTATCACTAACAATCAATCTTCCAGATTCCACCGCTGGACGGTCACTTTGTACAAGGATATTAAAAGATCATAACGGTACGATAATATACGTAACTTTACGACTGTATGTTAAGTAAACGGAAATACATTTATGGCAGATGCGAGAGTTGCCAAAAAGCTGTAGTTGGCCACTGAGTTCATTGCCAAAACGTGTTCCACGCGTTACAACAGTTAAAGAAGGAAACTGCAACACTTTGCAATCAAATTTATTTCATTAGCAGCTACATTTTGAGGTTAGCTTCTGCGAAACGTCAATATCCAGGTTCACCAACGCATAACAACTGCTTGCTACCATCAGAAGTTCGTAAAAGTGCATCACTTGTTAAGTTTTAATTGTCTTCATTTCTTCCATTCGTATATGCATTCACTTACTCATCCCAGCATTCATGAATCCATCTTCGCCAAATTCCAAACAACTGCTTCTCTGTTGTCCGCTGTTGTCCCTTTCGCATATTCCGTTCTTGCCCTGCGCATCTCTTCTCAATACCTGCATATACTCTCTGACCTGCATCCCCGCCCCCTCTCACCGTCCCGCAGCTGTCAACAAGTTTCACAATTGACGCATTCTGAATTATCATTTCAGGAGCTTCTGTGCACGTGGTAACATTATCAAATAGATCAATTTACTAATGTAAAAAAATCATTGGGTGGAAATTAAAATTAATTTCTAAATGATATCAATTGTTTATTAGTGATTTGGAAAGCGCGCTTTCACGTCAAAAGGGCTGATCAAAATGTTTTGTTCTATCCTCGATTAATTTATTATTATTATTATTATTATTATTATTATTATTATTATTATTATTATTATTATTATTATAGGATATCTCAAATATGTGATATTACACCGTTGTTATTCCAGAATGGCGAGACTGTTTTTGCTCGATATGTTAAAAATTAGTTGTCTTCAGATGATTGCTTTTCTTTGGGAAGGTATCTATAAATAAATAAATATTTAACAATACATGAAAACATAACTGAGAATTCCAAATAAGAATTTGTATTTGACACTTTTCGTATAAAAGTTAACATTTAAGTAGTATTATAGAGAAAGGCGTGTATGATATTCCTCATAAAATGCTACACTACTTCATTTAAAAAAACAATATTTTATAAATAAATAAACAATCATTTCTGAGATATTTGGCGTGATGTCATTGCATTTATAAAACGCATAAAGTGAAAAAATCACCTCAAATATTATAAATGTTCAGTGATTACTTTTACTTGACTTATTAATTACAGGGCTCTTGTGAAAACGTGCACAATTTGTACTTATACCCGTACGTTTGTATTTCTACCCGTACAGTTTTATACAGTTTGTATTTCTACCCGTACGTCACACACGGCTTTTGACTGTTTCCCGTTAAGAAATACATAAACTATCAATATTATCCGTTTGGTATAGCATATTTCCTTTGGATGCTTTTAGCTGGTACAAGCGGAGTCATACAGTAGTTATTTATAGCATGTTTCCTTTGTATCGTAATTCAGAAATCAAACATTTGGTATACCCGTATCCTCGCGTTTACTTAGGCCCCTCATTTCTCTAGGCGAGAGGTGCAGGAGGTTTATTTACCTGTTGCTCGTTTTTCGATGTAAAATAGTTTTTATTACTCGGGGTGAAGATTTCTAATTAAATGATTTTGTCCACAACGCCCGTTGCTATCATTTATTCTTAATTCAAGTAATTATAGTAGCGGAGTGCGGTGTAAGAATTTCGGGACTCAAGAAAACGTGCACGTAGTACTCAAAATTGTTTTTTAAGTCAAAATGTTAAAATATATTTTCTTATAATCACTGCAAAATAATAAAAAACAGAAAAGTAAATGAGGAAAAAACAGATTTTTGGAGTCTGAACTAATAAAAGTATTTGTGTTAGGGACTGAAAAGAAAGCGAGGTCTACTGATTCCATTTAAAGTTCCCTGTCTACAACGCCCTGTAATTCGTGTGCTTATTGGCTGATTTAGAAATGCGCAATGTGTTACCCAGAGAGTATATTACCCTTTCTCATATCTCAATCTTCCCGTCATTTCATGTATTTGCCCCGTACTATGGTACCCTGCCGAGCCGCACCAGAGAGCCGCACTGGCCCGACACCACCTTCCGTCAACGCTGGTCGTATGACGTCGCGTTTGGGTTTAGAATAAATTTTTTACTAAAAACACTTTATTATCCCTTCGGCAATCATTAGAAACGATGCAGAACGTTGTAAACACCGTTAAGGGAGCTGCTCTTAATGTTGCTGAGTACTGGACCCCAATATTAAAGGTATTTTGCTGAACTTCCTTTGTGTTCGATCATGTTGCACGATTAGGTTAGATAAATTTCCATTGTATTAGTATTTTAATATTTAAAATTATTAAATGCCAGAACATACAGTGCTGCAAATAATGATTTTTCTGCACGATTCAAATTATTATAATTTTATTTTATGTACTCTCACTATTAAAAAATATGAGGGGTACGATATAAAGCGCAATTCAGTGGATTGTAAACTTCATTTTGTGTGACATGCTTACGAATTTCAAGATTGGGTTTTTTAACCTCCAATTCTTTCTCTAGGAGTCAAAGTTCAGGGAGACGGGTGTTCTCACTCCAGAAGAATTTGTTGCTGCTGGGGACCACCTAGTTCACCACTGCCCCACCTGGCAATGGGCAACAGGAGATGAAAGTAGAGCAAAATCTTATTTGCCTCGAAACAAGCAGTTCCTTATCACGAGGAATGTTCCATGCTCTCGACGCTGCAAACAGGTTTCCACAATTTTATGAATTGGTGAAGCTGTACTAGTATTGCATTTTTCCAGTGTTAAATATTTTTTCACAGAAATGACACATCATTCAGAATACAAAATGTCATGTTTAGTAGTCTATTTGCATTTCTTTGGATTTTAACTTCGGAATTACAGATTGCAGCATAACGATTTTAATACTTCTCTCTGTTTCTGATTATGTGATTACATTTCGTTGGATTAGACATCTTTTGTGATGAATTTAAAAGTATAATTTGTTACCTCAAATTCATGTAATCTAATTAATTATCAGCTTCAATTTACATCACAGTTTTAGAAATTCATCCAATTAATATGTATATTCCATGGATTTAGGAAGTATTTTATGTACATGAATTTCATATTCCATACTCTTTTTTAATTTGAATTATAAAGACATCCTGTAATGATTAACAAAAAATAGTCTACTGGTCTGAAGGAAATGTACTCCCAGAACTATACTGTTCCTCTTGCTAGTGATGATTTGCTTTATCATGACAAGTCGTATGAATTTATTGAATTTGCACATGAAACCCTATAACTAAATTGTTTTTCTCAGTTGTCCGTACAGTATAGCTTCAGACACTCCACACTTTGGAGGAAATCTGGTGGAAATTGGTCTTTACTGATGTCATGTACTGATATGTATTTGATATGATCTGTAGACTTGGTTTATTTTGCACATAATTACACAGCATATCAAAAACTTGATGTATATTATTCAAGGAGTTTGCCATGAATTTTGGAACCAGAGGAATCTTAATTCAAAATCGTTTTGTGTTCAGCATTCGTTACCAAGATGAAAGTTCATACTTGCACTCGTAGGACTAAGTTGAATGGCTGCAGACTTAAAGTTATCTTAAGTAATTGAATACATTATCTCAGTTCTTATTGCCATTCAACAATATCCAAATGAAAGTAGTGTTGAAAACGTCAGCATGTATTTGAAGCAGCTGCATAAACTATGAAGGAACACCGTTAAAAGTTGCATTTATGAAGTATTGCCATTAAGTTAAATGTTCTGGTTCAAAGAAAATATTATAATTCTGTCCAGATTTTCTCTGCTGTAATCAATCATGATAAATTGTTGACCTCCAAACTCTTATGAGATTGTTCATGTCCTAGCATACGTTACAAATTTATATTTGACAATCAACGTCAAATCTGTTGTTACTGAGAGTTCTTTGTAAGTTGTTTCTCTCGGATATTGTGACTAAATTTTTTTCATTTTACATATCTACAAGAACAGAATCTACATGCTTCTACATTTGACTTAAGTTCATTGTAAACGTTTTTTTATTTTAGTGTTATGAAAATGGTAACGTGCCGTTTTTTTTTTAGTTCAAATCAAAATTTGTGATGCTTGTAGAATTGCAACAGATCCTTCAATACCCATCCAGGATATTGTTTACTTCTTCTTGTATTTCCTTGTTTTCTTTGGCAAATGTGTAAATTGAATTATTAAAAAGTGTACTTCCTTGGACCTTAATTAAATTCGGCTATTTTGTAGATGGAATATTGCGATGAACAAGAGAAAATAATTGAAGCTGATGACCCAGATGGTGGATGGGTGGACACACATCATTACGATGCTGGGGTCTCAGGCTTGGATGAAAAGGTTTCTGAAATGAATCTAGAACCCAAAGTAAGTATAAAATTGATGGTTTAAGAAAGAAGGAACTTCTGTGTTTTCAGCATTTCATAGACTCTAGTCTGGATATTTTATTTCACTTTATTGATAACACTAGATAGCAAAATTAGATACTTTTTCTGGTCAACTTTCTTAACTTTACCAACTGACTTCTTGCACAAAAAAGAAAACCGAAATTCAAAAAGTTGTTAAAAGTCAAGAAGTTTGCTTTTGTGGTCAAGAAAGAATGTTTTTATAAAATTGATGAAAAATTGTGAGAAACATCAATTTGAGTAAACTTTTACCTGTTTTTATTAATGGGAATTTTTAAAAAATATTATTTAAATTTGGACAAGTTACTACAGGGTAACTGATTTTTGAAAAACATTTGGAAAATACATGAAAATTGGAATGCAAAAATATACAGGGGAAACTCTCATCTGGTCATGTCCAACTAGGGGAATGTGTAACGTTATGAAAAGAATAAAAGATGAATGACATCATTTAAATTTTCCAAAAACCTCGTGGGAATATACCGAATACACCAGTGTTTTCGCTTGAAAGCACTTGTCAAGAGAGAGTATGTATTACTATTGGCCTATTTGAACCTTGTCATACAAGTTGTATTTTGAACAAAAATGGTGATAGTTTGGTTTTAATTTTTTCTAGTAAAAAGGTCTTTATTTTTTTCAAAAGATCAAAATCATTACAACTAGTGGATTTATATCATCCTCCACTGCACTTAGAGCACTTGTTAGTAAATTCTAATGTAAATTATTACCAAGATGACATTTCTCCAACTTTTCCTAAGCTGACTATAATTGTTTGTTAGCGGATTTATGTAATTTAATAATGGATAATGTCCAAAATGTAGCTGGAACTATTACTGATTTTTATTGTTGTTATTATTATTATTATTATTATTATGATGATGATGATGATGATGATTTGTATATCGGTAGACCTTTCTGTTTCAAAGGAGATTTGTACTAGTTCCAGTTACCCTTCTTTGTACTCAGTAGAATTAAAAATTGATTTGCAAAAGTATTGCTCATTGCTATTACAGAAATTTTATTCAGTTATGTACCATTATTCATTTATGGGCTTTTGTTGGGAATGTAAAATCTTGTAAATGTAAAAAGTGTCTCTTCAAAAAATACAATATTAACCTGCAAGAATTTACGACATCAGAACCAAAGAACTTTTCGAAATGTATAAATCCAAAAAAGAATGAGAGTGGTCTACCAAGTACAATGCAGTTGGGCTCAGATGTGGTCTGTGATAAACATTCATTTGTTCTAATGCATTTGCAAAGTATTTTTCATCTTTTTAGGTTCAATCATATAGTAATTATAATGTGAAAATACCAAATCAAATCCTATTTAACAAGAACAAAGCTTACATCTAAGTAACATGTTTATAATAAAATTGAAAGTTTGGATACTGATAGGCCCTGGTCCTGGAAGTATTCCTCAATCTTTATTGAAAAATTGCTAATTTATTATGGGACAGATATTGAAATGCTTCATCATCTTCCTTTATGGCTTAGGCATATTGCCTGCCTTTTTTCCATCTCATTCTTGGCCTTCCAAATGTTTCTCTTTCGTCTTTGCTTATAATTTAGGGCTTGTATTGGAAGTCAGTCTTGCGCATATTTCCAATATTGGTCACCCATTGCTGTCAGTACTTCTTAATTTTGCCATGTACTGTTTCTTTCTGCCCTAGATCTTCTCTTATTTTTGGCATTTTATTGGGTTTCTTAATGTACAGCCCTTTACTGTTCTCAAAAACCTCATTACTGCTGATTCAATCCTCCTAAAATCTTGTTTTTGAACCCAGATTTCACATCCATGCAATAAAACTGGGAGGGCCATAATATCATAAAATTTTAAGTGGGTTTCTTTATTTTATTTTTTTATTAATGTTCTACTTATATTTCCACATATTCCTGGAAATTTATGGATCTTACTGTTTATCTTCCTATCTCTTCCAGATGTAAATTTACATCCTAGGTAGTTAAAATGTGTCACTTGTTCTAAAACCATATTTTGAAGCACAATCTTTGTCCTTATTGATTCTTTTCCTTTAAAAGCCATTACTTTTATTTTATTATCCAATATCATCAGATTGTACTCCATAAAAAAATTGCTGAAGATGGTAAATAGATCTTTGCAAATCTTCTTTGTTTTCGAACAGCATCACCTGGTTATCAGCATACAAAAGAGTATTTAAAAATGTATTTTTGCCCAGGTAAATTCCCCACCATGTTCTTCCACCTTTTAATTATAAATCCCAGATATATGTTATGGAGTGTTGGTGAAAGACTGTCACCCTGCCTTACTCCTTTCTTTATAGCCCTCTTCGTGGAAAAAAATCCATTATATTTTACAGCAATATTAGTATTATCAATCATACTTTTCACCACTTGCACTAGATGACGTGGGTACCCTTCTTTCATAATGCTTCATAATTTACATCGGTTGACTTCATCAAAAGCCTTCTCAATATCCACGAAGGCTAAATGTGTTTCTCTATTAATCGCCACGTTTGTCAATAATTTGTTAATATGTCATCTACTGTTAAACGACCTTTTCTAAACCTCTGTTGTTCTTGAGGGAGAGTGCAGTCTGCAATTGGAACTATTCTGTTGTTCACAATTTTTGTGTATATTTTGTAACATGAGTTAAGTAGACAAATATCCCTAGTTGTGACATTTACTTCTATCTCCTTTTTTAAAACCTGGAGTAAATGACAAATCTAACCATTCATCTGGTATTGCACATCTTTGCCAGCATTCATTCATTAGGTGGAGAAGTTGAAATTTCAGTAACTTACCTCCATATTTCATTATTTCTATGTTAAGTACATCAGGACCACAGGTTTCCCTATTTTTTTGGAATTTTAATGCACTGTCAAGCTCTTTCATATCTTAACATATCTACATTTCTTTTTTATTCCTTTTTCTTCATCCGGCTTATAAATTTCTTATATCACAGTCTATAATTTTACAAAGTAGTCCAACCACTCTTTCCCCGAAATCATATTCAATCTTGCCGTATCTGCTTCTTCTAAATTCATTGTTTTTAACACTTTGTATGGTATACTGTGTCTTCTGAATACATCATATTCTAACATATTCACATATCTATCCCAAGATTCTTGATGGGCTTGTCTCACTAATGATTTAGATTTATTGCTTTTTTTGGTGGTAGATCTGTTTAGTCTGCTCATTTCTGCTTTGTATATATTTTAGATACGCTACCTTTTTTTCCTGCACTCCCTATGCAACCCTATCATTCCACATTTTCCATATTGTACATTATATTCTGTATTATTGAAATACTTAATGGAGAATTTCCTTGAATGAAGGATTTCTTATGATGGAATGGAAATTTTCATTCATAATACCATTATGTAAGTCAGGTGAAAGAATAAAGACATCTTTAGCATATCTAGGATGTGTTTTTTCAAACCAACTTGTGAGTGCTTATTGCAGCTCAACTATTCAAAATATTGAAGGTGTTTATTAGACAAAATATGCTTAGAAAGAGCTAATTTTCAAAATGTTGTTGTTTCCTCCCTGGACATCCTGTATCGGGCTTAGCCCATAGCACTTTACAAATGAATTAGTTAAAGAGTAGGTACCAGTGCCCCTGCCTTTATCTTGAGAGTTATTGTCATCTGCGAGTCAAGAAAAATTTCAATATTACCACCAGTCTCGTTTAAACAAATATTTACAAGCTTGCTCATTTTCTATAAAGGTGTATTTTGTGTCAGTTAAGAATTGGTTGGGTACACATGTAGTGGTTGATAATCCATTATTTGATACTGGGGAATAGATGTTGATCAAGGCTAACAAAAATGGAGAATAATAGCATAGTACTTGGTATCTGTTTGTTCAGGTTGACAATACCCCTAATATAGACAGTGTTGCCAACAACAATGCATCTGAAGAGGAAGAGGAGGAAGAAGGTGAAGCAGAAGATATGGACGAATTTGATCTCGATCAACTTGATCAACAGGATGAGGTAAGGTATTGAAATGGCTGTGGTTAACAAAACTAACTCTCAGGAATCTTTTCCATCACTGAAGTGTCTTATCAACTAACCTAATTTTGGAATAAGAGAAACAAATTTAATACATTCTATTTATTGACTCTAGTTTTGTAGATACAGTAGAATCCCTCTGCACACTTTTCGAGGGACCAAGAACAAATGGTGTAATCAGAGGGGAAAACCTTTTGCATCTCCAAAAATTAATCCACTTTTATTAAGTGTTAACATTCAATAAGAAATTGTTAATAGTCTTAGGCTTTCCATGGCAGTAACATTGTTGTTTGATTAGTCTTCTTGTGGTGAATTCTATCTACTTTTTTTTGTTTTCAGTTCATGTTCATGTGGTTGATACCTCCTCAATCCTTAATCATTATTTAAGGTCTGTGACTTTTCCTGACTCCATGGACCCTAATAAACTGGGTGCAAAAGTTTTTCTAAAATATGTCTTGAATGCATGTCTTATTCTTAAATCCACTTCCTGTAGTTTGCATGTACAGTTTGTTGGTAAGATTTCAATTCTAATGTTTGCGTTAGCACATACTCCCAACGTCACAGTAAGTCAAAGTTAAGAATTTTTGCCTCCATGGCGATTCTTGCCTTTAAAGGTGAAGGTTTTGTTCTGAACACATGAAATAGACTGATTTCATACAGGTTGAAGATGACCTTAGGTGCATGCTCATTCACGAGAGCCATCCTTCTTCTTTTCCTCCCCTTGCCCTTCTCCCCACACAACCTCACAAACAACATTGTCATGCATTTTGAATTGATCAAGCCAGCCAGGAGATTCAGAAGTTCTCAATGGCAATCTTACCTAACACACTACTCATCAAAATGTTAGAATCACCTGTTATTTGGAACCAGTGCTTCAGAATTTCCTACCACTCTACATATTTTGAATAAGTGACTTACTTCCTCTCCATGCAGTTGCCCACTTTTGTTTGCACATTTTTTTAATTTCAGAGAAAGAGAGAGTAACAGGCTTAAAGCCCAAGTATAAATTGTAGTTCTGTATATTTTATGAGAATGATACAATGAATACATGATTATATGAATGCATAAATTAATGATATCTTCTAAATAAAAAATGATTGTATGAATACAACATGAGTACAAGAATATATAAATGAATGAATGAATGAATGAATGAAAGTTACACTTCAATTACAATTTAGTTAAACAAAAATCAATATAAAGAATTTAAAAATTTAGATCTTGAATGTTCTTTAAAAGAGTTTGTTTAATACTTTTAATAATAGTAAGTTGATATTATTGCGTAATCTGAATAACCTTGTAATCAGGGAGTAGAAACCATACAATGTTTTGTGTGATGGGTTCTTCAATGGTTTGTGGTATGCAGAGTCTATGCTAAGTCATATATAACAAATAATGATTTCAAGATGGGTCATAATTCTAAATATCAGAGGCATTGTTATAGTATCTATATGGTTCAAAGATAAAATCTGTCAAGATTACAATTTCTTTAGAGCCAAAAGTGAGATACAATTTAAGAAGATATTGTTTTATGGCTAGATATGTAATTAAAAAATATATGTTGAACATTGCCTATGAGCTTCAGATGTGAATTGTAAAGCAGATGTGAATTGGAGACTAAATTGTTAATACATATATCAAAATTTGTTTTACAAGGGTAAGTTACAAGAGTCAAAAAATGTTGGTGAAAATTTTTGACTTTTGCTCTTTACAAAATCTAGTATCTGGGTAGGCTTTTGTGAAAATATAATCTATAAGGTTGTAAAAGTAAATTTGTCAATAAATATCACCCTTACGTCTTTTCTATTTGTCACCTAGTGAGTTGCATTTGATTGTTTGTAATTGCAATAAGATTTATAGCAAGTTGAATTTAATATTTTTAATGAAAATAATAAACAGTAATAGTCCTGGGTTTGAATCGAAAGACCTCAGAAATTATACAATGGGACTGAAATTCGTTGTATTTGACATTTTGTTTTTTTTTAGATACGACTGAAACCAATTAAATAATAATCCAAATATAACTTTTTTTTTTTAGTTAAATCAAATTTATATTTGTGATTCCAGTGGTGAGGTCATTTTAGAAGGTGCCAATAGACCATAACAATTGCGCAAAATACTAAAATAGTAAATGATAGTAAATCAAAAAGAAGTAACACTTCCAGAAATGTGAGAAAAGGTAGAATTAATAACTGGGTTCATTTTTTATTATTTTTCTAAAAGTAGAAAAAATACTATTTAAAACTCAATGTGATTTATGCTAATACACTTGTGTGAAGTTTAAAACACTGGCTTATGTCATACTTCTAACAATTGTTACTTCATTGTTTCATAAAATGTTATTAAATTCAGTGTGTTTATATTTTAGGCTGCATTGGATAATGCCCAGAATGCTGCTAAGGAGGCAGCAGAGCCCTCTGGGGGTGAAATTGTTCACACAAGGACCTATGACCTTCACATCACTTATGACAAATATTACCAAACTCCACGTTTGTGGCTTTTTGGTTATGATGAAGTGAGTATTATGTTTATGAATTTTAGAGAAATGTATTTGTCGGAAGTGTTTTTAGTATTGTGGAAAAAGATAATGGAAAATGTAAACTAAGCATTTCGGTTAGATGACATACTTAAAGAGTAAGAAGTTTAAAATTTGTAGTCAATAATTTTGGTTCTTGCATTTTGTATTTTCAGCTTAAATAAAAAAATGAATTTTGTATAGCAACTGCTTTATATGTATTTGTTGTAATTTGTTGCAGAATCGCAAGCCACTTACAGTAGAGCAGATGTATGAAGATGTGAGCCAAGACCATGCAAAGAAAACAGTGACAATGGAAACCCATCCACATGTTCCTGGCCCTCCAATGGCATCTGTGCATCCATGCAAGTATGTGAATATTTGTGTTCTTTATGTACTAGGTGTGACAATTAAATATTTGAGCATGTGCTGTTTGTGGCAAACGGCAAATGTGCTGCAGCAAGTTGGAACATGTAGAAAACATGATAGAAAAAAATGTTACGTTCATTCATCAGTGGGACTTAATGGGTTAATCTACATTTACATCAAGGGGATGTTGACCTCGACAGGGCACATACACTAGGTGCAATATTCTTGCCCAACATTGTTGCAAGGGACATTTGTCCAAAAACCTTTTGCAGGCCAGAATAAATAGCATTGCAGACCGCATGCTGATAGCCTGTTCTGGAACATACTAAAAAATTACTTCGTAATCTTCTCAGTTGAACCTGAAATGACTATTTCTCTCTCTCTCTCTCTCTCTCTCTCTCTCTCTCTCTCTCTCTCTCTCTCTCTCTCTCTC